ACTGTGGGCATAGGCTCATACAAACGACACCACTGACGATGTAGCCTAAAATGTAGTTATTCATTACCTATTGAAAAGTGAAAGAGATGGAATATCTTTCATTTCCATGTATTATAAGTTCCGTTTTTAAAGAGAATAATTAATTATGTTTTTAGTTTACAGTCAATGAAGAATAGTCTTGGCCCTTGTGAAGAGTAAAAAACTCCTCAAAGAGTTTGCATCCACTTTATGCTGACCTTACACGATCAGTCATGAATGATAGGCCCAAGACTGACAAGGATTGCTGCAATCATGATTAACTCTACACGTATCAATCAGACTGACGTATCAATCATTTTAGCTCAGTTTACGTTGAGATTCAAGGCAGTATAGATCTGGTGCGATGTCTATTACTAATAATGTGTTTCATTAAAACAATCTTATTTGGCCATTATACTTTATAGCATTGGACATCAAGAGAAAAGTAGAGATATAATAACAAATTCATAGTGCCTGAACATCGTTTTGACAAAAGTTAGAAAAATATGTCAACTACTATTAAAATATTGCGAAAATAATAATGGTGTGAAATGCCAGAGGAGACTAAAGGAGAGCGGCATAGTCACAAATGCTCATGTTTACGAAGGTCTTCAGTCCTTTTTAGTTACCCTCCGAACCATAACAACCCACCCTCCCTTGCCCACTTCGTTTTGTCACTTTGCTTGATTATTTCGGCATTGCTAGACGGAAGCAATGAGGAAGACATACACAATATAGGTAGGAACGTAGGCAATCCAATAAATTTGACTTGAACATATTATGAGTGGGGCGATAGATCTTACAACTAAATTAAAATTACGATTTATTATTTTCATACTATCTTGTTTGATTATTGTTCTGAGGATTTCGGACTGAAAGGATTGAATGCGTTTAACGATCAAACCATTGGCTTCCCTTCCCTCATCCCGGTTCAACCCAGTATAAATAGGGTTTACAAATGAACCATGACACCTACAGAACACTAAATAAAATTGAAACATTTTTACATCAAACAGGAAAGAATAAATTAAATAAAAAGAACTGATGTAGATAAAGAGAGAGCAAGGATAAGGATAAACTGAAACGTAAAACGTAGAGGGTCGTAACAAACAATAAACGAATTGCCCAGCGTGAAATCACCCTGGCTGTGAAAAAGGATTGCTTCATTACTCCACGACGTGGCTCATAAACCTGGGGTTTCCTCTTTTATACCTATTTTATTTCCAATGAGAACCGTTAATGAGTATTCAAACTACACATGTTTACCTCTCACTGAAATAAACGGGATTGCATCGGAAGAGAATAAACATTTTACATCGTTATTTCAGCTTAAAGATTAGACAGACGTTATGAATGAATGTGAATACGATTATATACATACTGTTTTATTTTATAGAAACTATGGAACTTCTGATAATATGAAATAATAACCTCTAAAAGATCTCCTATTTCATTTGTTTGTCTAAAGTAGATAATTTAAAAAAAAAATTACATTTGATTGATGAAATTTATCAAACGAAAAAATAAAAATTACAATACATTTTTCGAAGGATTATGAATTGTTCTATTTTGATTTTATTTATGTGAACGTGTTTTGCGGAACCTCAAAGTTCTGCTCCATAGATTTAGTGAGGATCCGTTTTAGAAGATGTGACAGTTGATGGTATCGTCTGACCAGTTCTTGTTTTATAAATTAAGAATGGATGTTCCAAGCAAGTCTTTTGTCCAAGTATGGTCCGAGATACCGTCCATCATTGGCTAGTAATAATTTTAATTTTTCACAAAAATCATCACATCTGGAACCAATTTTCGAGATGATTTTGAAGGGTGGCAGATGCGAAAGTTCAATTTTTGTTGGAAGAAAGAAGTTGTGTATAGTGTGTGGAGCTCTAGACAGTGATGTTGGGATGTTCAAGGATATCCTATAGGTGAACAAAAGCCATTTTTGTGGTTCAATATAACTTTTTGGATAGATGTGCCTTGATAAAAAAAAACAACTAAAAAACATACACGACAAGGATATATCAGCAGTAAAATCTGATATATCACCGCATTTTATTCTGTTGAGCTGAATGGAGATTAAAATGACAATATGCACAGAGATCTCCTGTTCCACTAGGAACTCAAAATTTAATATGAAGATACTATCAGGAAAAATATGGACAAAACTATACAAAAACAACAATACATTTGCATAATGCGTCGCAATGCAATACATTGTAAAATAGTAAAGAAATTAGGTATAAAGAAAATATACTTGTGGATTGATGGTTGACTGTAGTGAATAATTGAAGAGGAGATTGGTTGGGGTGTTAACTAAAAAAACTTAAAAAAAAAATAAATAAATAACATTTATTTTTATTTTTTGCCGACGCTTCGGCCTAAAGTTCTGGTCTTCGTCAGGATTGGTCAGACGAAAGATGTGTGTACATATTCTTTATTTCCAGATTAGCTTATTAAGCCATACATGGGTTTATTATCAATAGGTAATTGTTTAACAGTTGGTAAAGTGGGGATATAGGCTCATACAAAAGACACCACTGACGATATATATACATATATATATATATATATATATATATATATATATATATATTGTGATCAATTAATTGCTATAAAACAACCGAATGCCATAATTATCTATAAATGGAGTCCTTTGCTTTTTAGGAATTCACCTTTTTCTTAGTAACGTTTCTTCAAGATATCAAACTACAAATATTGACTGGTGTGGAGAAAACTAGGTCGTATCATATCGTTTCGCTATCTCGCCTCTTACGCAAATCAGATTCTTTTCAAAATCGATTATTAACATTTTTTATACAATGTCGAGACGAACTTTCAAAGTGACCGACATTCTTGTAGCTCTATTTGAATGGGATACAATTTATTAATGTAAAGGCGAGTTTTTAAAACAAATAACTTTATATTTTATTATAACACAATTAATTTGAAATTTTAATATTTCTCTGTTCACTGGTGTAAAAATTAAGTATCAAAATATTAATATCCAAAATGTTTTTAACGTTTTCCAAATAATAATGTTTCTTGAAATATTTCGGATTAGAGCATCTTCTACATTATTTTGGCTGATAACATTATATGTCCTGGTGTCAGTTCTTAGCGAGCAAGCTATGTTTAAACATTGAAGTTCCATTTTGCTATAAGAGTTCATAAAATGTTATCTGCCAAAATAATATTTCAAGAAACATTATTATTTGCAAAACGTTAACAACATGTTTGTTATTAATCTTTTTAATACTTAATTTTCACTATTTTACATCATTTATTTTAAAAATCTATATTTTTTTTTCCAATCTTTATCTTGGTCTGGCAACGGTTAGCTGGTCTTGGTCTTGTTCTTGCAAAGTGAAAGACCAAAACCGATTTTGGACTACACTACTCTCTTTAGAGAGGTATTGGGTATCTGTAAGGAGAGAGGAGCGGCAAAGGTCGGGCGCTCTTGGCTATTTCCGTATAGCTTCCGCTATTTATTTATCCTTTAGTTACCAATCAATTTTCTGTATTCATTTTATTTAACCATTTTTATATCAGTTTCCAATATGAAATGGTTAATTATTTTAAATTGAAAAAATTAAAGGTACTTCAGAGGAAGAAATTTTGAAAATTAGGCATTTAAATCCTGTTAGAGAATATCAACAAACATAAGACCTAAATTATATTTAAAACAGATTAATTTGACACTGATATAATGAATTTTATCAAATTTTTTTTATTTGAAAAAAAAGCCATTTTTCAGAAAATTGTGAAAATGTGTATAATCGGTTATATAAAGGCGACCTTTTAGAGATGTGGAATAACTAGCTATTTAAACATGAATAAAGAAAAAAAAAATCCAGTGACGAATCTAATGTAATATGAATCTAAGCCGACACCAATATAATATGAAAAAATATATATATATTTTTTATGTTAATATGTGTTTTATATGTATACATGTATTTACAATCTGATGAACAAATAAACAATATATTTAAAAAAGGGCTAACGTTATTTCTTCTGTAATTGCTTGCTGTAAGTAGTGATACTTTTAATGAGCTCGGGATTGTATGTTATTCTATATATTAATAATTATTCAGAAACTTTTATGATCTGTACAATACAGGTGCAATTCTTATGAAAGAAAAAAAATAATTCAATGAAGTTTAGGTACCATCTCTTTAGATACCTCCTACAAACAAAAACTTTTGAAAACCTTATCTTTCTTATCATTGCCAGACAAAACTGGACTCATCTGGTTCAATCTTAAACGTAAGTTCTCGATCCTCGTCTATCATTGATAGTATTTATATGTCTCAGTCTGCGTTGTTATTACACCAATATGTATCAACAATAAGCTATCAATTTCTCTAATAAGCGAATTGAGTAACTTAATAATAAATATAATATTTTATATCAGAGGACATAGAATCAATCAAGTTACAGTTAAGACAGTTGGTAGCTCACAGGCGATATATCTATTGGTTTGAAATATGTCCAATTATAAGTAGTAACATGTTTAATAGAAGGATGAATACAGCATGATGAAAAAGGTTTGATGGATTTCGGATGGCATAAGTTTCAAGACATTTGGAATATCAAAGACATCCTGATAGCTCTTACTAGTAACATTATATGGATCCTTGTTAGGACTGGAACAGAAGGATTGAATTCCTTTGATAATAGTTAATTATTCTCTCCCTCTAATGTTCGTTTCTGTAAATCTATTCAGTATAAAAATATTATTTTGAATAAATAGCTTTGTCCTTGGTTAAAAAATACTTGTACAAAAACGATGAAGTTCATGGTTTTTCACTGCAAACTTTGATTGAAAAGAAGTTAGATCAATCATTATCACCAGTTTCTTTATGGATGTTACTCATTTGTAATGGATCTTTGATAATATTAATATTTACTTTTTGTCCATAGGAGGTTTATTTCAAGTCAATGTTATGATCAAACTAACCAAACCGTCTACTTCTGTTTCAGACTAAGAGAGAAGCGATGGGAATCTGTCTCTGCGGTGCGGCTTTTCGGTTACACCGTGGTGAGCTCGGATTCACCGATGGACGCGGATGATAATGGAGTTCCTTCCCTGCTGGCCGGATCGGTGAATCTCCTCCGACTCTTCGGTACCGACTGGGGGAACGATACCTATTTCGTCCTCACTCACAAGCCCGGGAGGTCCGGCGAAGTCTGTGAGTTCCCGGTCACGGAAAAGCAACAGGTAACCCTCAGGCAAGCCTCAGTTAGCTCCTTTCTTGGTTTGGGAGGAGCTACTGTAAATGGTCTGTGCCCGAACAATGTTTCAATTAATCCTTAAAAACTAAATAGATAACCACAAAAAGGATTGTGGTTGCGTCGATAGGAAACACACTTACAATAACAGATAAAAGTAAGAAAATAATGTTGTACTTTTCTGTAAGAATTTCCTCAAAAAACAATTCGAAAAATTATAATTTATATCAAATTTTATTTAATGTATTATTGTGTTAATTATACAATACCAGTATTACAAATTTACCAATATAATGCTTTTCATTGTGATTAATTTTTGTATTTCAATTTGAATACTCTGCGAAAGATCCTTTTTTTCTCTTCTTTAAGTCAAATACAGTTGCGCTTTACGAGGATGGCCTGTGTATAAATCCACAAAATTGAAATCGTATATATTAGTGTCAATGAAATTATTTTATTGTTAACACGCAAGATTTTTATTTCCAATGAAGTTTGTAAACTTATTTTATTGTCAAATAATTCTTATTGATCATTTGTAACATATCACCTCATCAATTAATGTTTATGGTATTTTATAAATTTACCTCAGGTCGTTAGAAGCCGGTATTACATAGGTTATATTTTTTGAAATTTAACCCTATGTTGATATACAACCTTATATTGAGAAGAGAAAAATTTTATTGTCTTCAAGTTAATCATAGCTATCATTTTTAGACAATGTTTTGTTTATTAATTGTACTTATTTCAAGGGATCTTGTCTACGATATTGGGAGAATAACTTTATCCAAATCAACTAAAATATATTTATATATTTTTTACAATATTTAATGGTTTTTAATGACCTTAACGTTAGTTGCTTAAACATATTATTTTTTTTATAAAAGTGTTTAGTGATGTGTGTTGCAGATCGACCAAGAAAGCCTTGTGGAAGGTATGAACACCGCCCTGCTGAAATTGGAACTGTCCGAGAAGCTGGACACCGACATTCCTTACTATTTCTGCGCTCGTAACGAGATGCAGAACAAGTCGGACCCGAGCACGAAAGACCCCTGGGCCCACATGGGATCCGAGACCTACCTGACCCTTAAAGTGTACAAGAAGTTCGTGCCGGTGTGGTTCGCCGTCATCGTGATGACAGTCTGCCTCTTCTTCTCCTCCCTCTTCTCCGGCCTCAACTTGGGCCTCATGTCTCTCGACAGGACGGACCTCAAGATCATCTGCAACACCGGCACGGCCAAGGAGAGGCAGTACGCCAAGACGATCCTCCCAGTCCGTGCCCACGGTAACTACCTCCTGTGCAGTATCCTCTTAGGGAACGTAATGGTCAACTCCACCTTCACCATCATCATGGACGACCTCACTTCCGGCCTCATAGCCGTTGTAGGTTCCACCCTAGCCATCGTCATCTTCGGTGAGATCACCCCGCAGGCTATCTGTTCCCGCCACGGCCTTGCCATCGGGGCCAACACTATCATGATCACCAAGTTCGTCATGGTCTTCACCTGGCCTCTCGCCTATCCCATCTCCAAGTGTCTTGACTGGTGCCTTGGTGAGGAAATCGGCGCTGTCTATACAAGGGAACGACTCAAAGAACTGGTGAAGGTATTTTTATATTTTAAATTGGATGCGTGGTAATGCTTCTTAATGCACATTATCATTCACACATTTCATTTATGTCCTTCCATTGTTAGGTTTGCAGGTATGCAGTAATCTGGCTAGACAACTAAATAATATTCTATTTTAATCTTTCTTTTATTCATATTTGTTATTCAGCTTGACCAGTCTCAGTTCGTTGTTACATAAATCCACATTCCTTATTGATTTATTTCTAGCGAGGAGGTTTCTGAGTTCGTATGATATTCATGTTTTATCTTTCTTAGAGAAGGAACTTCCTTTTGGTGATTTGTAAGGAGTATCTGGCTTGTCAAAATGTCTGCCGTTTCGAACAATAACTTGTTCCAATATTTTTTCTATAGTAAGGTGCTTCCTCATCTTACTGTTTTAGTGGAGAGGTTCGATGAGGGGGAACAATCGATAATCTGGCGAGATTTCTACTATCGACCCGCCTTCTCCACCATAAGCCCTTCCCCACCATCCAGCTAATCGATTGTCTTCACCTTCATTCTGCTCTCATTGTGTTATTTTTCTCACGAGTAAGAATGATATCGGCGAAGTTCAAGGTCGTCTACTTTTGCTGTTTTGTTCGAGATTTTCTTATTTGATACCTCCAAATGTTTCCAGTTCTTTTATATGAAAAAGCTATATTATTTATTGTTTATTAATTTACGACCATAAATTAAAAATATAATAAGAAAAAAATGTATTTCTATATTTTGAATATAAAATATATCAAATTTTAGTCGAGAATAATAACGGATTATGTTATAATTTTATAATTTGAACGTTTATAACACGAAATTAATTTAAATATATACCTTCTTTATTTTAGTTTTTAATAGATCTATTCTTTTACAAGTATGCACGAAATCAACTAAGTAAAATTAATGAAAAATCGTTGGTCTGTGTTGCCATTCTTTTTTTTTTTAATATATTTTAATTTTAATAAAAATCATAAATCCTGATGATATTAATCGAAAAGATAATTACCATTTTCTAGTTTTTAATATGTAAATATTTTTAAATTCCTAAAATGTTTATATATTCATTCAATAATTTTTTTATAATATCGATACTTTACTTTTACCTAAAATTATCTCTAGTTAAGAGAAAACCACTTTCTGCAAGAAAATCTTATAAATATTATAATAATTAAAATACAAATATCCTTAGTTCTTTCTCTACTTGTCAATGCTTTTCTTGTTGATAAAATAACCCAATACTTGTGAATTTAAATTCTTAGTCTTTCTTTACATTAATTAATTATAATGAAACTAAATTAGTCAGCATTTTTATTATTCTCAGGTACCAGATTGTATGGTTATTATTGACTTTTTTAGAAACTACAGCTTAAAAACCCCATGAACTCTTCAATTCCCATTAACTATTATGCAATTGTTAATAGAGGTGTTTAGTTTCAAATGTGGTTCAATTATTTTTTTTTTTAAGACACTAGGGATATATAATTGTACCCTCCTGTTTAAAGCAGATAACCTCATGAGTTTTAACCCTCTTTTTATTGAATGGAGGTGGTTTTTTTTTCCATATTTTGCTTTGTAATGTATTACATTTAGAAATTTAACAAATTCTGAAAGTGAATTGAGCTGTTTTTAAACTATTCGCCTCAATTATTAAATTTACATTTATATTTTCACTCTTTTCTGAAACTCTTTTTATCTGGCGCCATGATTACCTAGTATTATTTAAAAATAGAAATTTAATATTTTTCTTTTAAAAATTATGTTTGTTCTTATTCTGTAATATACTAGTTAAAAGTTGAACACAGCTTTTAATGATATTAATTTTAATCAATTTTATAATATAATAATTATTCTATAACTTTTGGATGAATATTTTAAAATATTATTAAAACAATTAAAAGTCTTAGTTGCTCATGAAACATTTTATATTTCTCTTATTTTGTTAAGATAGCATGATATCAAATACATGTCCTGTAAGTACATATTAATTTTTCTTCTCCTCGAGATTGAAATTATTCTTTAAACATAGTATCCATTGATTCCATGCATGAAACTTCATGAAGAATTGATTCCTACATAGATTTTTATTTAATGTTTCTTCTTAAATGTATAATGAATGTGACTATATGATTATTTTTTTCTTTCTACTTTTAATGTAGAATGTGATAGTCTTTATTAGATTTTCAAGGGTTTTCTCTTTTTTCATTGCAATCCTACATTTCCAATTTATTTGTAGGCTTGTTATCTATCACTCATAATCCAATAGATTTTTCCTAGAATTCAGATTTCTTTATTTATAGCCACTATAGGACCTTCACATTTCATTAAAAAATAAATAAATAATAATAATCCTGTAATTTCCACAATTAGATCCTTTAGAATTTTCTCTTTAATGGTTGGCTTATTTATTTATGTTTTTCAGACACATGCTTCTGAAATACTAACTTTGCTATTGTGTTCACTAACTATTTATTTTACTTGTTTTACTTGACAAATTAACTAATCATATTTTCTCAAAATTTACTATTTCAGCTAACAACAGAATTCAATGACTTACAAAAAGACGAAGTGAATATAATTTCTGGTGCTCTGGAACTTAGTCAGAAAATTGTCCGTGATGTGATGACCAAAATAGAAGATGTTTTCATGCTTTCGATTGATGCGGTACTTGACTTTGAAACTGTTTCTGAAATCATGAAGTCAGGTAAAAATCATTTTGCATTATATATATTTTGTAACATCTCTCTTAGATTTTAAAAATAATAATATTACCTCGTGGAAGATCACTTTAATACTATTGGAATACTTCCTAAATAAATAAGAGGTAATCAATAATAAACAAAATTATAAGAGTATTAATATATTAAATTGAAATATATAATTATTTTATCTCAGGTGTGGATTACCGACAATCAAATCAAAGCACCCAAACAGACTATTATTATTTTTACTATTTATACTAAAATTAAACACCGATTTTAAAATAAAGTCAAGTATGGATTGGCAAGATAACCTTTTTTCTATATATAATGTTTCTTCCTTTGTTGCACTAAATTCATTTGTCTTCTAACATTTTCCTATGTCCTGCCAAACACATCTTCCAAGATGGTCACACTTTCTTCTACTCAAATCAAGCTCCCTGGGTGATCCTATCTCTTATAATTCCAAACAACTAGTGACTCTGTCAAACAACTTCCAAGATGGTAATACTAAAACTGGGTTTTATCCACTGGAGCCAGGATCCCTTCTCCTATCCTCTCTTCACTGCAGCCAAACAACAACTGCTTGTCAAAACAAAATCCTTTATCCCCTCTCCTCTTTGGGATTTTCCTTTCTAGGGAACCTACAGGGCAGCTATTTCCTTTTTCCTGAACTAGTGAAACTAGATTAGCTTACTTTTTAACTGTTACATTATTTTATTAAACCATTTTTAACAACTTTCAATTAAGGTGTATATTACTATTTACATATTAAAAATTTACAACTATAATCCAAATCATATGGAAGTATTTAATTCCTATTCATTAATACATGTTTGGGGCAAGGAAAGGGGGAACGGCCAAGTTGGCTACAGGACTTACAATTGGTAAAGTACTTGGCTGATTCACCACCCGAATTGAGTGACTGTCATTCCATTAGGGAAGACATGCTGCCCAAATTCTTCTCTCACTCAGGTATGTGAGCCCATCAGTCTACTGGAGGCAAATCAAACTGATATTATTTCTGTTCTCCCCTCTCTCGTCTTTTAGGCACTATGTGGTTTCTCCTGGACCAGAGGAAAGGATGGGGGATTTATACCAGAGTGCGAGAAACCACTATGGCACCGAACTTGTAATTATTTTATTATGTTAACATCAGTTTATATGGTTTCTGGGCAATGTTTGATTTGCATACACATTTGTCTGTTTAGCCATAGTCAGTGTCCTTGAATCCAATTGAGTTGATGCCGGATTGGACCCAAAGACAATAGCAATGGGTGGCCTGCCACTGTATGATCTGAAGACCATGGACAGCAGCAACCTGAGATTGGGTGACCCCCTTCAGGTTGCCTACACCTCCACCAGCAATATATAGGTGGCCTCATATCAAAGACAGACATCTGTCATTTTTAACAAGTCGAAAAAAAAAAGTCAATTTTTATAGCATAGCTTCAATTTAAACCAATTGTGATGATTTTTTTTGTCATGATTCAACTTGAATATTTTAAAATAAAATCATCAGAACTTATAAAGCAAAAATTGTTTTTTTCTTCACTTTCTGAAAATGTCTGTCTTTGATATGTAGCCACTGATGTATTTATATATAACTTCAATCTAAATAAAATTTAAAAAAACATGGTTGATACAAAAAAAAAGTTTGGGCCCTATCATCATTGACCAAAATTATTCTGGGATTAACCCAAGTATTGTATGCTGAAGAGTGGGGCATATTATCAGCAAAAGTAGAAATAAAAATACTATAAATTACAAGTTCTTGTTTTTAAGTATGAAGGTGAAAAATTAATAAAGAAAAGTGAAATGTATGGATTAATAGATTAATAAATATTTATATACCCCCTTTATCATAAAATTCTTTTCATTTTCAGGCTTCTCTAGAATACCAGTATATGAAGGAACTCGTTCCAATGTTGTTTCAATGCTTTATATCAAAGATCTAGCTCTTGTCGATCCTGATGATAATACTCCTTTGAAAACTGTCTGCCAGTTCTATCAAAATACTTGCTATTTTGTTTTTGAAGATACTACGCTAGACATACTTTTCAAGCAATTTAAAGAAGGTATGTATATGCATTTTTTTCTCCTCATAAAACTAGATGTATATTTAGTAACTCTTATTTGTTATATCTTGTCATTAAAATTATTATATTAATGGTACAAATTTATCTTTTCCAATATCATTACTATCATTTATTTATTTACCAAGAAATATATTGAGGCATTACACGTGTTTCATAGTGTTCAAATTAATAACTAACTTTCAAAGTAACTAAACTATTTCTGGTTGCAAATTTTTGAGTTCAGGGCTAGACTCCTATAGATATTTTTATTTTTTTCTTATATATTTTTTTATAAGTGGAAATAATCCTATTTACTTTCTAATATTCCATAAGCCTAGGCAACCACAGAAAAGTTGTTTCAGCATGGTTCATAGCATAGTAATTTCTCCTTGCGATTCTTGGCAAAATTTAAACTGTATTTATATACACAATTTTTTTTTTTTTTTTGTATGAGGTGAAATGTTTTTTCATGCTGTTACAGCTTTTTTAATCCTAACTGACATGATCTTGGGGGCAATTAGCAAAGAGTAGAAAGTTAGAGAAAGAAACTATTAAGTGTGGAAACTATTGGCAAATTAAGCTCTTAAATAAATGGATGGCTGAATTTCTTTTTTTTTTTTTTTTTTTTTTACGAAAGTTATTTCTTTCTTTATTTTTTCTTTATTATTTATTATGATAGTTAAATAGTCAATGTTTCGAGGCTCTGTCCAATCAGGAATTTTCTTGTTTACTGTTCCTAAATTTGTCATATAAATCCATAATTTATTACATTGCTATATATTTTCATTATTTATTAAAATCATTCTATTTAGGAACATCTTTAAGGTCCTTTCTTTGATACACTAGCTGTATCAAGGATTAGTCTTGTAAAAAAAAAGGTATTTACACTGAGAAGAAGAAATAATTTTTGCAAACTAAATAGAAACTACAATGATCCTGTCTACAGAGAGTAATTTATAAAAAAATGGCTGAGTAAGCTTTACTGAAGATTTACTCTTAAGTAAATTCAAATTTTAATTTTTATCATAATATTTTATTAATTATAAAGAACTATATTTGCAAAACAAAAAAATCAGTTTATGCTTAATTACCTTGATTGGTAAGATTTTAACTAATATTTTTGGCTAAAATGATATTATTGGAGCTCCTTACTTTCCTGAAAGATCAAAAAAGTTGTAACTTCACTTTCATTTCATTTTTACTGATTTTGGCTGTGACGAGGTTTTGATTTTATTGCATTTCAACATATTTTATATAGAAATCAAATTATAAAGTAATTTGTAATTCATTTATCTTTAATAATCATGTAATTATCATGTAAAGAAATCAGGATAAAATTGATAAATTTTATTAATAATGACCAAAGTTTGCACATCAAATTTTTAAACTAATTTTTATTTAAATCATGTCAAGTCCAGAAATTGATTAATTACCTTGTCAAAACAAGGTAGCGTTATACTGAGCAATGGATTTATTTTGTTTCTTCCTTTTTTTTTTTATCGATTAATAGACTGAAACTATGGATGGTTCTGAAGAAGTAGTCAAAGTTTTTTTAAAATTTTGATAAATGTAATATTGTATTCTGCAAGTTGCAGTATTATTTTAATAGCATTCTTGTAATACCAATTTGTAATTTTTGAATTTATGTTTAATACTTATAATGTGCTGTATTAACTTTATTATATTCAATGTTAATGTTTACACTCAGGTATAAAGGGTCATATGGCTTTCGTACAAAGAGTGAATTCAGAAGGCGAGGGTGATCCCTTTTATGAAACCGTTGGTCTTATAACACTGGAAGATGTTATAGAAGAATTGATCCAAGCAGAAATCAATGATGAAACAGATGTTTACAGTAAGTGAATATTCTCCTACAATAACATAGATAATTACTTATTATATAAACTTTAAGAATATAAATTTAAGTTTATGGAACTAAAAAACAATTATAATATATCTTATCAGAATTGGCCTGTCTGGACTTAAGACTTGATAATTTTATTTAGAAATATTTAAATCAATATGCAATTACTTGCCATCACCATTGATTCCTAATAATTTTGAAAGGAACTTGTACAATTGTTAGGGTCGTGTTCTTACCCATCTGTTCAAATTTTTTCTAACTATTATATTTAATATTTTATTACTGTGAGATTTTTAAACAAAAATATTCTTATCATTATCCTGGCCGACCTCGAAGAAATACATTTCTTTCAAATGGCAAAAATTGAGTGATGATTTATTAATTTTTATGACTATTGATAAAGTTATTACAACCATGATTCACAAGAAAATAATCTACTTTGTTCTCCTTATCTTTGATTTTATCATTTATTGTTATTTATTCTAGCTGACAATAAGTCTAAAAGAAGGCGGAAAGATAGGAAAATGAAGACAGATTTTACAGTGTTTGCGGAGAAGAGTGAAAATCAGCGCATCCATATCTCTCCCCAGCTTATGCTGGCTACTTATCAGTTTTTATCTACTTGTATGTTTTTATTTTTTAAAAAATTAATATTAATTTTAAGTATTAACTGAGGAAGTAATTTTAAAAATGATGATTTATATTTCAGCTGTAGATGCCTTCAAACCTGAGAACATAACAGAGACTGTACTGCGCAGATTGTTGAGGCAAGACATATTTTACCAGATAAAGATCAAGAAGAAGGAAGTTAGACCAGAGGCTTATACTGTTATCTATGAACAGGTAGTGTCTTCTATTTCAACTATTAGTTTCTTATTTTTCTATTTATTTAAACATTTATTATTATTAGAACCACATATCACAAGGATTCAAGATAACGTTAGGTATTCGCCTAGGTTGTAGTTTAAGCCCCCTGCTATTCATATTAATCTTTGACCTGGCACTAAAACCCACAACATTTTCTTTGTTAACATTCCCTGATAACCTCCTCTTACCAGCTACCAGCAACTGTGATCTCCAACATAATATGAACTACAATATAAATCCTCCAGCAGGAAATAACCGCAATAAATAAGAAAATGAACCTGAAAAAGACAGAATGCCAGGAGAGCAGACAAAGAGAGATTAGAGAAAGTAGATGATTTCCAATATGGCCGAATGGGCTAACGTGTGTGCACAGCACAGCTGTTGCCCGGCAATCTGATCTATGAGACAATGGATTTTAAATAGTCATGAGTTCGTGTCCCGGTGCCAGGGGAGTCTTTTAAATACCCACCCACACCCCCTGTTCTGGGAAAATCCCATATTGCCTTAAAGGCAAGGAAGAGGTGGACCCCCAAAAAAAAAAAGATGATTTCCAATATCTAGGTGCTCATTGCAACAAAGCGGTTACATCAACAAGGAAGTAACTCAGAAAATCGGAACGGCTGTTAGAATATTCTGTTCACTTTGAAAGGGTTTCCTGGGTAAAAGAGAAGTCACCAAGAAGACGAAAATGGATATCTATAAATCAACGTTTCTCTCTATCCTTTTGTACTCTTCTAATCGTGGACAGTCACCTCAAAATATGAAAGTCAAATCCATTCTATGGAGTTGCACTACTTTCGTAAAGATGAAGGAAAGGTCCAAAGTGATAGAGTCTGGAACACCACCATATGGACTGACCTTGAAGTTAAACCGGCCAAGGCAACCTTGGAGGAGCACAAGCTAAGATGGTTTGAACACCTCCTTAGGATGGATCAAGAAAGAACTGCAAGGGTGATCTACGAGACCCTTGTAGAGGAAGGAGGCCTCGAGGAAGACCGCATATCTGCTGGAAGATCATTGTGCAAGAGGTGTGCTGGTGACGGGTATGGATTGGAGCAGGAGATGAGAGTTGTTCAGAGAACAAGACACCTGGTCCAGGCTCTACAAGCAACAATCCCAAATTATATATTTATTTATTTTTTTTAAATTATTGTATTTGATCAATGAAAAATATTTGTTGTGTAGTTTATTAAGTTCATTCATTCATATTGAAGTATTTAGCTTCTTGTAAAAATTAAGTTTGCTGAGCTATCTAATTCTTCCTCAGGGTAAACCGGTGGATTTCTTCGTCTTGATACTGGAGGGTAGAGTAGAAGTGACAGTCGGCAGAGAAAACCTCGTCTTTGAAAGTGGTCCATTTACCCACTTTGGAACTCAAGCGCTCATGCAAAACATGGGAGTTGGTATGGTTGCCTACTGTTTAATCTTAATAATTATAAATATATTTGAACAATTATTATTATTATTATTATTATAAGCATAGTAAAATTTTTGTTATTTGTCAGCTGAATCACCAAGTGCAGGAGGTCAGCAAGGACTTGGTTCTCTCCAGAGTGTCAACTTGGATTCAAAAATACGTAGTACATTTGTCCCAGATTATGGTGTAAGAGCGGTGACTGAGGTGTTCTATCTTAAAGTAAAAAGATCTTTATATCTTGCGGCCAAGAGAGCTAGTTTGATGGAGTTGTCTCGCAAGGAGGAATCTAATGCTGGTGATGCATTTGATGAGGAAGTTGAAAAGGTATTACTTTCATAGAAAAATTTATTTCAATACTTAATTTATATTTGTTTTGTAGGGTCATTGAACAGTACAAATAATTGTATGATTTCATAATATTAATATTATAATTTCAAATTTACTTTCTTTCATTTATTTATAGATGCAATTTAATTTTTACTTTAATAATACCTCAATGTATCGAATATGAAGGTTCCTTAAAAAATTTAAATACATGAAAATTTCAAAATATAGAAGTATTGCAATTTTTCATGCTTGTTTTACTAAAAACAATCACAATTATATTTTAAGAGTTAAGGTCTTACATGCATTAGATTTTGATAACTTTTTTTTTATTTTATCAAACTTTAAGGATGCTATAAATAAAATCTGGTATGTCCACTCACACGACTTTTCAACCTATTTTAGAAAAGTTTCTATATCTTTAAATATTTCCATTAAGAAAAAAAAAATTGAATAAGATTTATTTTCCTGAAAATTGGTCAAATAAAACACTCGAGTACTATTTCTTTGATAAACTAAAGCAATGTAAACTGGCTTGTGAAAGATCAGTGTAAAAAATTCAATACGCTCTAATATTTCTAATCAAAAACTTTTTGCCATAGCCTAATTTTGTCAGATAATAATTTCTGTTAAAAGTAGAGGAAATAGTGAAACTTCTGTGATGCGGGAACTAGATTTTTTTATTTTCACTTACTTTTTTTTTCTCTCCTCTTTCTGGCACGAAGATTCGAACTCATAATCTTACATAAGAAATTGAATAACTATCTTCGTTAGTAGTTGTCTGAAATGAACGAATTTTATATAGTTTTAATATAGTCAAAACCCCATAAAATAAAAAAGAGAAGCAACAAAATCGGTCGACTAGTTCCCGAGATAATCTTGGCACAGACAGACGGAAAGACAAAGACAGACCAATGAATGAAACTGTGTTTTTTCGAACTCGGGGGACTCTGTAACGTACAGATCCGTCGAAAAACGCACATCGGAAATTTGACCCGATTGCAATACTTTCCTTCTTAGTATAGGTAGGTAATAAGTAATAAATTATAAAGTAATAATATATAAAGTAATAAGTTAAAACATGTGTAAAAAATAGAATAAGCTGTATCATCGCTAATACTGGTTCGATTCCGATGATTTTTGTTTTGTTTTATTGGTAATTTAATTATCTTTCAAAAGTGTTATTATAAATTTTACCGTATAATATATACCTAGGGAGTTAGGCCCCATAACATTTTTCTTTTCTTTATAATATTTTTCCTGAATTTTCTCGGGAATTTAGTCCATATACGAAAATTGAAAGGACAATTATGAGAACATTATAAGAAAGTTTAATCAAAATCATTAGAGCCGTTTTCACGCTACAGTCTATAGAAAAACATGTTTTTTATTTACTGCGCGCAAGCTATCGCTCATGGAGCACCGAATTTCTGTCACAGGCATCAGTAGTCGAAACCCTACAAAATAAAAAAAGTAGCAACAAAATCGGTTCAGCAGTCCCCGAGAAAATCTTGGCACAGACAGACAGACCAATGGCTAAAAATGTGTTTTTCGGACTTAGGGGACTCTGAAACGTATAGATCTGTCGAAAACCACATATCGGAAATTTGACCCGATTGCAATACTTTCCTTACCTAGTATAGGTAGGAAAGTAATAATATGTTTTAATTTTGTATAAAAATATAATAAATTACAATAATTTTTATTTCAGCTGATGAATACATTTGGAACAGATGATAACCGTAGCCAAGGTTCACCAGAAATAACTAGGACTTCTTCTCAGGTATAAAAAATTTACATATGAAAACATTATTCTTAGTAATTAATCTAAAATTTTATTATTTTTTCCAATTTCTATATTGATTTATTGTATTTCTTAATTTTTAACTAGATATATTCGTATAACTAGTTAGTCGTATAACAGTTCACTTATTAAAATATTTTTTACTTTACTTCTTTTTTCAAATTCAGAAATTTAAAATAAATAAATAATGATTAGTAAGAAAGAATTAGTTGTAATTTAAAGTATTTTGAAAATTTTACAGAGATCGCCTGAGCGTAATTTTGATTGGGCGAAATATAGGAAAAATCGGAGGTCATCAAGTATCGTAATGGTTCGAAAACTAAATGGGAGTACCCGTGAACTCTTCATCTAAGGTCATTTGTGTTATAAATTAACACATCCCGAGCCTGTATCATACACCTCGTTTGCTGTGTAGCGTTTGATTTTTTTCTTAAAAAGCACTGAAAATGTTAAAAAAAAAAAAAAGGAAGATTACAAACAAACGCTTGTATAAATTAATGAGTAGATATTTGTTTAAACAAACGAAAAAATGGCGTTTTAATGTTCCTTTTTATAAATATGTCAGATGGATTGGTGTGAGATTAACAATTGGAAGGAAATGCTCATTAGTATAGATGATTAATTAACTGCATTAACTCAGACGTTGTTACTAATGGAGTTTTTTGTTTTGTTTTTTTAATCGCATATTTTAGAAATGTTTTTAGCTACTTGGCATTTCTTTAGATGAATTCTGCTTTGGCTTATGAATAAGTTTAGTATGGTTTGTAAAATATCAATTTTTAAAGTGTTAATTTCAATTTAACATAGAATAAGATATTGGAAATTTATTTTAATAAATTGCTGTTGAAACATATAATGATTTTCACAGAAAGGAAAAATGGAAAGAGAGGATAGAAATTTCATTAAGTACCTTCTGAATAAGATAAAGGTGTATTTTGTTTACCAGTTATATATTCAAATTAAGTTTAGTAGAAAATTTGGGCACTCCTATCCGTCAAAAGATTAACAATAGTTTGTTTAACTAATGATAATGTCAATAACATCGGCTGACAAATATCAATATTATCAATAAACATTTTTATGGTCCACTTTATTGAATTATCCCATAAGCTAAATGGGGTAGAGAATATTTTAAAATCCTTTTGGTACGAATCACAGATGATTCTAACTTTTCTTTTTGAAAATCTTCTACAAATCAGACCTATTGGCAATATATTATTAATAAATTGTGAGTTGATTCTAAAAAAATACACATTTATACTTATTTGTGATTAATTGGATCTGGATCTGTAGATGTGAATCTATCTATAGATATCTTTAGATCTAAACCAAGACACAGATCATAAAAATCAATTTTTAGATCTAAAAAAGACCTTAAACCATTAATTAACAATTGTATATAGTATACAAAAGTATTTGTAGAGCTTAAACATTGCTAAACACGAAAAACATAAATAAACATGGTAAAACTTAGTAGGAGCATTAAACCATAATATTCACAAAAATTTAGAATTTTAAGAATTAACATTACTTAATCACGAAAGGAGTACGTACCTAAACTCAGCGATAATTCCACCAATCGATTAAATCCATCACTAATGTACAGCGATTTATGCTCAGTTTAGGAACAACCTGATGGGTTCCAATGGAATGTTATCATTTTTTTTTCTTCTCTAGAATCAACTTTCTCACTGTCTGTACAGATATTATAAATTTTCCAACTAGAAATAACATTAAAATGACTTTACTCAAAAATGTTGAAATTGGAGTTAGTCATTCTGAATGGCTCTGAACAACACTGAGGTTTCATCAAAAGTCAAACGAACCACTGAACCAGCCATCGGTGATTCAATTGATGAATAATTGAATGCGCTGAATTCCACCGATTAGGTTAGGAACTTTCCCAAGTATTTTCTTATGCGAAATAATATTTTCTAATTTTTTTTAAATAATGTATTATCCCAGATTTTAAGTCTAATTCTATAAAATCCTCATTATTTTTTAAGTCAATTGTAACAATGTTAATGCCCCTTTGGTTTTCCATAGAATTGGATAATTTACATTTTTATTTTTAAATGTGTAGAACAGATAAGCACCCCATACCCATACTACGTTGTTGGATATTCAATAATGGGGAGGAGCCTTTTTCATTTACTTCAGAATGAAAATAAAGAGAATTGCCCATGTTATGTATTATTGTAGAATGTATTGCATTAACTTAGGTAATCGAGTCAATTGATTCGCAGTGTGTAAATAGCCAATCTTGCTTTGAAACAGAGTAGGAAATTGATAACTTCCCCGGACTCAATAAGCAGGCATTCCGTTTTCTTGAATATTACTTAATTATGTTTATGACTACTGCAAATACACTTCACGAAAATCTTTTTAATTTTAAATATGTACTATTTTGTATTTCTGGAAGGTAATATATTCAAATATTAGTTAATGAAATAATAGCTTCAATTAAAATTCAAACATTTTGAATACCAGTGAAAAGAGAAGATATAAAAGTTCTATAGGTACTTCCTCATTACTGTTTATTTTATCAATATTTTTGAATAATATTTTTTCAATTTTAGCAAGTGTCACGGAGAGGAAGCCCCCAGGGTTTGTCCAATGGACCTGTTCCTTTGGCATCAAGTGAACAGTTTTTGATTGTGACAACACCACCTCCTAACGACTTACAATCCGATGAGACGTCTCAGCTCCTTCAGAAAAACACATAACATTTAACCTCTCTGCCTTCATTTCTATAAAGTCTTTTACCTCTATAAATTTTAGAGGAATTTAAGTACTCTGGGTCAACATTTTTAATGCTGTTATGATGAATTCTTATTACTATAATTTTTTTTTATCAAGTAACTTGGTTGAAATAATGTACTTGGTTTTTGGTTGTAAAAAGAAGTTTTGATTTTTAAATTGTTATTTGAAGTTACCTTTAAGTGATAATTGTAAACTTAAATTGACATTTTAGTGAAGAAAATTTATTTATTTTTTGGTGTTATTAAAATAAGAGTCATTACTTATAATGTAGCCTATGTTTTTTTGTTGTTTTTTTTACAAACAGAAACCGTAGAGTTGATTCAGCTGCCAAAACAATTCCAAACAGTCCATTGATATAGCTTCCTAATTGCATTGTACCTGATGCTTATTCTACTTATCAGGTCTGTGTTTCAAGACCAAATTAAAATTATAAAACGTTTTCAGATTCTAGTTATAATTTTTTAGTATATATTAAAAAAGTATACAAAAAAAAGGTGTAATAATTAAAGATTAGATATAATGAAAAAGGAATTGAAGCTGAGTTTTACTTAAGCTTTTTGTAGTTGTGAAAAGTTCTTTTTCCTATAATCCAGATCAATTTGAAGAATTTTCTTTATTTTAGTATTATTTAGATACTTATATAATGATATATAGGAATACTAGTTAAGAAGGTGGGCGCAAGCATGTTGCAATATATATATAAATGTATATTTCATTATATCTTAATATTTGTAAATGTTGATAAATATTTAAATAGGCTTAGTTATTTCCTGTTAAGTTTTTAAATCACAATTTTATATCAAGTACTCATATCCTGTACAAGTACTTACTTTAGTACTTAAATTAGTTGTGATTATTAGTTTAAAAGTCTTTGCCATTCTGGTGCCTATTTACTGCTTAATTTAAAGAGGAAGTAAAATTAAATGCTTACTTAGTCTGTATTGTTATGTATGATATTCATATGTTGTAAGAAATATACGCTGAGCGTATCATGCATGGAACAGGAAAAAAAAAAAAAAAGAAATATGGAAAACAAAGCTCAATTTTTACATTTTGAAAGCTTACACCATTTCGACAGTAAATGAGGCATTGTCTTGTACTAGGCATACTGTAGGATGTTGATAAACTAAACTGATTTTCAAATAAGGTATAGAAATAAAAATGTGGAAAGAGGTTACAGTGCTGTGCCATCTTGATCAAAATAATATCAATTTAAAAAGATGAATTTTTAAAGTTAATTATTTATTATAGTCTACAAATAAAGTTGTAGAAACTAAAAAAATAAAGTATTCATTGATATATTAATATCCTTAATACTGAGTACTATAGTGATTGATAAATCAGATTTGTCTTATCATATAACTGAAATAAATATAAAAGTTGAAAAAAAAATTCAATTTTTAGATTGATATCTTTAATAGGAAATCGCCATATGGAGGTTTTCAAAATATGCGAAAATTAAGTAGCATGTAATACATAATTATTATATAATATTGCTTTATTACTTTTTTTAAAATTGTTAGGGTTGTCCACGTCCTACTGTATATCTTAATTAGATTTTAGCAAATCTCATCAATACGAATCAATCCTTTAACATAAAGCTTTCATAGCTTTTTCAGAAGTTTTAGCAGTATTAATTGGTTAATATATGTATATATTTAATTATTAATGTATTTTTTTGTTATATATAATTTTGTTACAAATAATGAACTATGGGATTTGCTAATTGATATATCTTTTATTAATTTTTTTAAAAATTAAATTATATTGTGGGTTGCTTTTAACTGTTAATTTTTAAGTGGATATCAACTTTGAATTAATTTGATCTTTTAAACAATTATCTGCCAATAAATCTTTAAATCGAAAATATAATTTTTAGTAGAGAAGTCCGAATGGTAATCCATTGTTTTAGAGTTGAATTTTAAATTTAAAATTGAACAAAAAAACTTTATTTTTATTTTTGTTAGTATCTAGAAACGAGATAATGAGTAGGTATACATTGTAATTAAGGCCTCGTGCCTACATTTCAACCAAGTGAAAAACCAATGTGATCATATTGGCCTTAAAGGTATTGTATTATAAATAAATTGTATTATATAATAAATTTAATGTTTTTATAGATAGCGCAGTGGTACGGTTAATTAATTCGTAAGTTAAATATGAATACAATTTTTCATCAATGTTCTTTTTTCAATTTTTGTATTAACTTATATTTTATAGTGTACATACTTTCTGGCCAGTAATCTGTTCTAAAAAAATATATATTGTTAAGTTAGTTAATCCTTATTCCTGTTGTTAGGCTAGTAATTTTCTGTTTATTTTTTTTTTTTATGTTAATGCAATATGTAAGAAAATCTGTAAAATAGAACATCTCAAACTCATGCTGTAAAACACAGTTCAATGAAATAAAGTGAACATTACAAGGATTGTATTAAAATTGTGTTATTTGTTTATATTACCCTTCTTTCTTTCTTTCTTTCTTTATTGCATTAACTTATCAATGAACAATCACATCTCTTGAAATTTACTGTTTTATAGTATAGTATACCTACAATTATTAAAATTTTATTTGTTTATTTTACCTCCATTAAATAAAACACGTTTAGTCACAGAACTATTTTAGACTGTCTCTCGATTCAATGTAATGTTGATATAAAAAGTAATATTTTGGATAGATTACTATTACAATATATAAAAATAAAAGTAGCAATTGAAAATTTGGAACATGGGTTAATTTTTGTAATTTATTTATTTGATCTTCATCTTTACTCTAAACGGTCATTGGTGTTAAGTTGTTTGTTTTTCCTTATATTTTTTGTTATAGACTTGTATAGATGTATAGATTTGGTATTATGTTTGTATAGATAATGTAAGTATGTAATGTATAGATAATTTTAAAAAAATTCACCTATTTTTTTTAAATGATCAGTCTATACCAAAAAATACAAGGAAAAACAATCATAATACCAATGACTAATTAGTGTAGAGGGGAAGATCAAATAAATAAATTACAAAACTTAATTCATCTTCGTAATTTTTAATAATTTTATTTTAATTAATTTAAGTTTAGTAGCTATAATATTTTTTATTAATAGTTGGATCATTAAATGTTGGTCATACTGTATTACATTAGAGCATCGGTTATCAGACTAATCTATGCCAAACCCAGTCCAAGTAATCTGATGAGGTAATTAAATTAGAAATAAGGACAAATGTGAACATATATACAACACATATAGCGAGCTAACCTTTAATAATTGAATTACAAAAACACATGTATAACGAACGACTCATTCAGTCAACAAAAAAAAATATATCAATAATAATGCAAAAGAATAAATTAATTCAATTGTAACTTAATGATGCACTTCAATATAATCAACCTAACTATACATAGATTAAAATTGCAACTATAAACAAACAATAGCATGTGATATATACAAATAGTATTTAATTATTTAATGATTATCAAAATTACATTAGTACATCATTATACTTATAAAAAGTTATAAAAAATCTGTTGCTGTTTGGGTATCGCACTACTTTCATCTATCATCTCACTGTGAGCAGAAATAGGTATTTTCATATGTAGGAAAGTGAAAGTCAAAATTATAGATAATATAACATATTCATTTAAAAAAAAAAAATGCTTTTCACACATTAATCTGTAAATTTATGTTTTTTTCATGACTCTTTGTTTCCTTCTAGGACTGGAGCTATATAGGACTATTTATTTAATTATAAAGGTGCAACCGATTTGTTTTTAGTATGACAAGAGTGCCACAGAATTTTTTTAGGCCGATAAAAGATTGAGAATCAGTCTATAATTTATCACATGCATGGGAAACCTTTTTTATTATAATGAGTATTTTTATTAAGTATATATACAAATGTATATACATATAAAACTTATAGTTTCCATACTGAAGTAATTATCTAATTAAATAATAATTAATATTCTAGCTAACATTTATGAAAGTATATTAACAGTTCTTCACCTATGATATAGCATGTTTGCACGTTTAGAAGTAACCATGAAATTCAGACTATGATCGAGTGCTCTTGGTAGTGATAGTTAGTTTTGAGATCCCCTGAGCCCAAATAACCAAGTCCCACAAAGTGGTCTGTGTGTGCATGTGCTTGTGTGTGTTTTAACAGTCTAGCTCAAAATCGAAAAGTCGTACGAAAGTGAAATTGCATGTTTAAGGTTTTTATATGCCTGGAATGTTACAGCAACGTTTTCGTAAAAATTAGCTAATCAGACTGGCACTTTATATCATTGATATAACACATTTTTACGATTTTCTCGAAAATGGTCTAACGATTTTGATTAAATTCATTATATCTGTGTAAAATTAAGCAGTTTTTAATATAATGTTTACTTCAATTACCTCAATGCCAAATTATTTTTTTTTAAAAAAATATATATAAATAATTAAATAAAAACACCTCAAATTTATATATTGTTTAGCAAATCATTTACTTTAAGAAAATTTAATACCGACTTAACTTTAACTTCATCAATATAAAGCTGGTTTTATTCTCATTGATGTTCTCTAACAGGGCTTAAATGGCCAATGTTCAATATCAGGTTCCTCTAAAGTTTCTTATTTGGAACAATTAACCATTTCACATTTATTTCTGATATAAAAGTAGTTAAATATGAAATACGAAAGAATTTGATAATTAACTAAAGGAGAAATAACAGATTGTCACAGATAATAGTTGTAATGGAGATGTTAAAGGAATACAAGCGCCCTCAAGCTTGCCTGAAAGATTTTAACAGGCTTCCATATTTAACATGAACTTAATATATTGAGGATTCTGATAGTAATATGTACATATGCATATGCAGTTTTCATAAATGCTATCATTGGTATTATTTAATTTTATAGATTACACTGGTATAAAAATTTAAATTTGTTTGTTATATTGGTACTTAAAAAATAAAAATACCCACAGTGAAATATAAATAAATATAGCAATTATGTTTTTATTTTCACTTTCCCTTCATTTGAAAATACTCATTTCTGCTGAAAAGAGGATGTTAAGTTAAAGTCATGTGATGTACGCACCAGATTTTTATTAATAGTAACAATGTTAAATGGTTAAATATTTTAAATAAACAAAATTAGAGGTTCCTTAGAAGAAGGAATTTTGAAAATGTGGCATTAAGCTCTATAAGAACATTTAAATTAAATTATTTCTGCCTTATGTTATAGTTGGTGGTACTGACCCCTTTTTATCAAATTATTAACATCCCGCTGAAACTTCGTAAATAGCTTCATCTCATCGTAACCTATAAATATTTTATTTAGGAAAATTCTCAGAATAGGAGCGTTTTCAATCTGGAGGTCGGCAAACTTTCTCCATTTAGTTAGTTACTAAAAACTCGTAAATACCCATTTCCTTTCAACTTGAATCGAAAGATAATTTGAGCACCAAATCGACTAAAAATGTGGCCTTCAAAATATGGAGCTTTTGGCTTGAGCTTAACTACCAAAATGTCAAAATAATGAGGTTATATAGACCAAATTTCCTAAATAAAATATTTGTCAGTTGCGATGAGATGAAGTTATTTACGAAGTTTCTGCTGGATGTTAATAATTTGATAAAAAGGGGTCTGTACCCAGGACTATTAATGATCACCTGATTTAACATTGATATAATGAGTTTAATCTGAATAATTTTTTGAGAAAATTATAAAAATGTGTGAATATGATAATATAAAGTACCACTTTTGATTAGTTGATTTTGAAAAAAAAGTTGATGTAACATCCCAAGCATATACCTGCTTTAAATACATAATTTTGGTTTTGTACAAAACTTATATTGTTTTTGAGCTAGGTTGTTCACACTCATGCATGGTGCTTTGGACTCAGAGAAGCTCAATTTTTCATTTCATTGAATTACTATATATACTATATATTCATGCTTTGTCTTGCTGTATGTTTCATATAAAGGAAAGCAAAAGTCAAAAAAAGGAAGGCACATGCATTTAATGTATATTACTATCCATTTCCAGTTGTTATTACTTCCTAAGGTCCTGGCATTTCATTATTTTTGCCTGGCTGTTTGCTTTTTTCTCTCATCTTGAGCTTTCCCTGGAGTTAAGCTCTATAATATTTTTTCTTCACTTCAAACTTGAAAACCTTAGTTGTTTAGATCCTAATAAAGCAAATATATCATATTGTCAACATCATGTTCTTAGCACCAAGATATCATTGTCAAAACATAAACCAATTCTTCTGTTGGATAAGTAAGTTTTATTTTTTCATCTTCATCCATCTAATCATTATTTTCTTAACAAGTTAGCTCTGATAATTTTTGAGTTTTTCTAATTCTGGAAGATGTTTCAAACTAATTCCAATCTTTTAAATAAAAATCAAGATTAGATAGATTGTTGTTTGAATAATTGATGCTCTACTACTGTATTTGACAACTAAAGTGAAATAAATTTACATTATTAGTGGTTCAGTCCAAATTAGATTCCACAATAATCTGTTGCCAGGTCCACAATTAAATTGTTTGTTTACAGAAAAATATTGGCCTATTAAGTTTCTCGCATTTGATCATCGTAAGGTCCTTTTTTAATTTACTTATGATAAACATTGAAGAGAAGATTAATTATGATTCAAAAACATATGTTTTAAGATGTAACTTGTAAACTTAAAAAAAAAAAAAGTAAAAATAAAAAAATATGGAAAGTATTTTAAACTTCTAATTACCAAAATTCATTATATAATTTTACTAAAAAACAAATGAATGTAAGTATTTTTTATTATATCTTTTAGTATATTATTTTGGTATAGGATTTGCTGTACTTTAACAGGTGATAGGAGTTAAAGCAAAAATTACCAACTTTGGCCATTTTTGACACATTATCCAATAATATATTCTTGTGATACATTATTGACTTTCTGATGGGGAGGGAGAGGGGAGGTGATATTTATTTCTAGGCTGTAGGTAATACAATAAAGAGAACAAAAAAAAATACAATGAATAATTTGAAAAGTTTTTATGTTTTAACCTCACACTTAATTTTTTTTCTTATATATTGAACAATAAATCTAAGGTTTCTTTATTGTTACTTTTCTAACAGAATTATATTAAATAAATCTTTTATTTACAACACCAGCGAATCCAGGATTTAATTTTGGGGAACTTCAGCCTGAAAGCTTTTTTTTTTTTATTACTTTTTTTTTAAATTATTACTTTGAAAGAAGAAGAAAGATTCTAATTACCTATATGAAATTGTGTTTAAATGATTTTTGAAGTCCTATTAAATGTAATTACACGTAATACACTAAGTAATACTTTTAGAGATAAGTTTTTAATATTTTTTCACAAGAAGTGGTTATATTTTACCATTTCAGGGCAGGCTTCTGCCTAAAAGCTCCACCCCCTTCCCTCTCCGTAGATCTGCGAGTGATTTACAGGAACAAATCAATGTCTTTTATTAAGAAGATCTAAGAAAGCATATAGATGTAAAGAGTGATATTTTTGTTTTAATTTAAATAACTCTTTTTTGAGAAAATAGTTCTAAATTTTATATAAAATTATACATTATTAATATTTATTGTCTTTTGTAGTTAATAGTTGAGAATTTCTTCAGAAAAGAAAAACAATTCTGTCTGACCAGATGTTACCATATATCAATCATTTATATATAATCCCCGGGTATATAATTTTGTGTGTAATTTAGAACTATTTTGTCAAAAAAGAATTGTTTAAATTAAAACGATGATGACACCCATTGAAGCATCAAATGTAGTTCCATTATCTCACTCTATTTTTCAATTCTACTCCATGTAAGGGCAGGTTTTCTCTTTAATAATTCTGATTTTCAATAATAAGTTCTCAATTGCCAAATTTATATCTAATTCATAACCACTTTGGAATCTTTTAACTGTCTTCCCATTGTCAGAAATCATCCCATTGTCAGTTTGTGATTTAATTAAACCCATATAGTGCTGCAAGCGATCTTTTACCTAAAGTAAACTGTTCACCAATTTGAGTAATCATGCCAGAGTAATAAATAATATTTATTCGTTTTAAAGGACTCCACTTCCATGGTGAACACTTGACATTCATGTGAACCAGATCTCCAACACACTTTGTTTAGTTGTATTTTTTTGAAATGGTTTTCAATACGTCTTTCCAAATTTACAATGTTCACTAATGAAACTCTCATCCTTGAATTTGATCACTTCAGCTATCAAAACAACCATGACGTAAGACAACTTTTGATGAACTAGTCTGATGTGCTATTCATATAGATTAGCAAAGATTGGAAAATTGTCAGTCTCATTGGACAAAAGAAGAATTAAGAACATTAACCAGTCATTTTCTTTTCTCCGTTTAACATGAATGTTGCTTTTTTGTGATCAAAAACAATATTCATTCCATTTTCAGTTAACAGCTTTGTGTTAAATAGCTTGTCTGTTTCATATTTTATATTTGGATGGGAACTGATTGATACAGTTCGTCATTTTCGAGAGGGCGACAAGAAAACATTGCCTAGGTCAGCATACAATGAACATCTGAACCTTTCTTCTAGTAATGGTCAGATATCCCTGTATTTGTTGATGTCAGCTAACTTCAAATACTCAAGATTATTAATGCAGATCCGCCTGTTAGTTATAAATAATCTTGTATTAATAATACATGATTAAGGTTACCCTAAATTAAAATTTTCAAAATCATTTCAAAGGTTAACTGTAAAATGTACAATACTGGAAAAATGAAACATTCCATTATGTATTATTTAAATGCTCAATTATTTGAGGGTAACACTTTATAAAGCTAAGGGAAATCTTAATCAAATAGAAATTTTTAAACCAACCACAAAAGACGATATAAAAAGATTTTATTTCTTCATCTGAAATTATAGGAACAATGTCTATTTAATGTCAATATGCAATCTGTTCTAGCCTTTGTTTCTTAGAGCAATCTTTGAAGTTATCTTTTCAACATGATTTAATATTAATATTTAGATAATAAAATGTATTTTATTGTTGTTGTGGGTTGTTCTGTTGACAATTTTGTATTTTATATCAGTGTTAATATTTGGAACTATTTTTATTGTTTGATTTTTGGCCAACTATGATTTTTAAGTTGGTTTTATGATCATTTTAATATTTATGATGCAGCATAAAAATGGGAAAAATAACTAATATTATAAGCGTAATAATGATTTTAATACAGAGATAGACTCTGTTATGGTGATGCTTGATTAAATAGCTTGTCTGTTTTGTTAGAACCTTTTATTACAGCTTTTAAATGCTGGAATGACACATCATATTGACATTTTGCGAGTCTAACTATAGTACGAGACATAGGAAAAATTAAAAAAAAAAACTTCAGAGAATAGTCATCTGGAAATCATTGTAACGGTCCACTATTGCTCTGTTGTATAAATAATAAGTTTTAAAGGGATAATAATGTTGGCTGGTCTCAGTTTAGCCATGTGGTAAGAATTTTGATTTGTATTATTTTGTTTAAATAAACACATATACTCTTATGTAGATTATTTTTGAACTTCTTTGAAAATATAAAGATTTCTTTTTCAAAGAAGATTCCTTTTAAACATAATAACAAAGTTGACAATAAAATGGTAATAAGAATTACAAGAGATATGCAAACCACAATCCTGCTATTTACTGGTAACCAAGAAATCCCAATTGAAAAAATGTCAATTACTTAATCAAAAAAGTTGTATGATATGAAAAGTGAGGGCTGTATATGAAACAAAAAAAAAAAAAAAAACAGAGAACCTTTGTACTTTAGATGACATAATAATTCAACACAGCATTAAAAAAATAGAGTAGTTAAAATTATCTGGGCTCAATTTTAATAATGAAGGCACCTCTACTAATGATGTATGTAAAATAGGAGAAAAAAGGACAGCTACTCCAATACTAATTTTTGTCCTCTAGAGGTCAAATATATATATTCCTGTACCAAGAGGCTAAAATAGAGAACTGTATTTATATCAATAACAACCACGTCTGCTAAGCCTGAGCCTAGAGCAAAATAATGCAATGGGCCTCCTCTCACTCAATATTTCATTTTTTTTTTTAAATAATATGAATATATGGGTTAAGATATTGTGAAAAGAAAACTTACTACTACATTACAATAACAAGAATCAATAATTAATACTGAGAGTCTAATTTAATGAGTATCTGAGGTCCCAAAAGGCATCCCCCATATGACTTAGGCTATTCAAAGGTAGAGCCACATAGAAGACGTCTTCTAGTAGCTTCAATTTTAAGATTCATAGAATTTTCTATATCTGTTTTTCCTTTCTGGAAGATAATTTGTGTTTTTGGAGCTGTCATCTGCAATTTTTTCAACTGGCACTATCATCCCACCTATTTGGTGAATCGTTCTGCTTTTTCTTTTATTCTAGCTCCACTGTTGGATGCCACGACAGCTGAAAGGTCAAATACATAAGATGTTGTAACCCTCGTCTTCGATGTTGCAATTCCTAGTAACTTGTCAAATATTAGCTTCCATAGAGCCAAGGTCTGATCTCTAAGGACTTCCACTTTCTATGGAAGTGGAGGATATGTCAAAAAGCAGCAACATGACATACCAATCTACCTTTTGTTAAATTTTCTCATAAACTCGAAGCAGCTCAACTGGAATTAGTGGTTCCTTTCCGTTTATTAGAACCATATTGCTGTGCATTGCTCATTTTTCTAAGATGTGGTCCTAAGCTGGTTAAAATAAGATTCTCCAGAACCTTGCTCATAACAGGAAGGAAGCATATAGTTCTACATGACTTAGGGAGCGTCTTATCATTGCCCCCTCTTTTGTAGAGGAGTCTTCGAATGGCAATCTTCCATTTTTTTGGAAAGTATCTTATCTAGACAATCATTGATGATCATCAATAGTCAATCTTCTTTACTTGTTCTTCACAATTGCCTTTCAATACTGTTCTTCAAGATTTCCGCATCAATGTTTTTTAAAAAATCTTCTCTGAAAGCCCAGGCCACAGGGATTTCGCTCCCTATCCTCTCTCTTGATGATATACTAGCATATTCCTTCTCAATAAGTTATCCTTATTCTATTCTTTATCCATTTTAGATGGGCTCCTCAGTCTATGATCCTGATATATTGACAAAAGATTTGCAAAGACAACAATTTATTGAGAGGGCAAGATCCCTACTGAATAAGCCAAAGTATACCAATGAAGATTTCAAAATACCATTATTTCAAGCTGCTGTTTCGAGTACAATATGGTATTTTTCATTTAAAATAAGTTAATTAGATTTTTAGGTTATTCTTTTTCCTGCAAAAACTGATTTTAAGCATTTCATTATTAACATTACTTTAAATATAAACAAATGCCTGCTTGAGGAGGTCAGGACCCAGTGATGGGTTGTAGAGCTGATTGGTGATGATGATGTCTAGGGTGTATTAAAAGAGGTGAGAGTGAACAAATTAAAATTAATTATATATAATTTCAAATTTTATTGATAAGATACTATTATATATGAAACCACTAATATAATAACCGTATAATTGACCTTGACCTCGGTCATGTGAATAAAGGTATTGGATGAAATGTTCACAGTTCTAAGGAAGTTTGATGTTGGCACATTTTTTTTTAAAAGAAAACTAATATTGAATTTCCAGCAGTTGTTTGAATAATGGAAAAAGCTTCCAATATTAATGAAAAAAAATTAATATACAGGGCTATATTTAATTCATTTTAATGTACTTACAAATCTGCATGCACTGATAGAAATTGGTGACTTAGGATTTTTTATTTAATTACAGCTAAAAAATTATAATTTTTGATATGATATAATAAAAACGTTTATTTTTACTTTTTGTTCCTTCTATGCTAAATTTATAACCTGTTTTACCTTGGCTTTAGAATTTCCAAAAAAGTTTGTTTTTGTTTTTATTCCTTCTATACTAAATCTAAAATCGTTTTACTTTGGATTTTGAATTTCTTTTTGTTTTTTATTCCTTCTATACACAATCTAATCGTTTTTCTTCTTCTCTTCATTTTTCTTTCTAGAATAACTCTGAACAAAATATCAATATGTGCTTATCAAAGTGTTTAGATTGATTGAACTCTTTGATGGACTGACAGCTAAATTATTGATTTAACTAATAAAGAAGAAACTAGTTTATTGATAATTATTTTTTAAAAAAATATTTCTTTAAATTTACATCTTTTTTTTTTTTCCTGTTCTTCCCTACCTCGCCTTTCCCGGACCAGAGGGTGAGGGCGGGGAATTTAATATCCCCTCTGGCACCGGGACGCGAAATCGTGACTATTTCATGTCATAGATTCATATATCCGGTTGAAAATATATAAAATTTACAACTGTATTAAATAAATACAACCAGTAAATGTGAATAAATCAGTAATAATGACATGAACATGAGATATTACCTAATGGAAGCTCCCTAAATAGTTCTAAAAAGAAAATTTCGAAGCAAAAAGGATTATCAGGAATCCAGGAAGAAGGAAAGTTGGAAACAATTGGATTCAGATGGGATTGGAGTTTATCATGAAAGGGTAGATATCTATCTGGCTCGGGCCAAATCAGTGACATTTCAAATCAGTGGTTAAGGTCTTTACGAATGATTTTATTTGTGACAAAATATGGAGCATAATGATTTTTTTAAGGATTTTGGATAGCAAGGATTAGATTTATAAAGGTCACAAGTGTAAAGCACTTATCACCTTTATTCAGTACATGACAGCAGTGGCTTGCCTAGTGGTGTACAGTAGGGACAGTACATCCTGGACTCATGGTAGAGACTTTAAAGAAAATTAAAGGAGTTTTATTAAGAAGAAAATCACATATTGCTGCTGTTAGTGCAATTTCCCATTATTATTCAATTTGTACTAAAGGCGCCATTTGGTAGTCTGCAACTGCTATAAGTTGTCTGTTATTATGGAAAATTGTGGAGGGAAATAAAATATGAAATTTTACTAATTAATCATAAAGGAATAATGAGTTTATATCTATCTAGCAAAAAAAACTCAATTTTTTCATACAACCTTTTGCACTAACCTTTTCTTTTTTTTTTTTTTTTTTTTTATACGGACAGAAAGATTTTTTTAAATTGTTGACTTTTTGGATTTTCTTTAAATAAAGATGGCTACATAACAAAACTAACTATTTATTTATATTTTAAAAAATGTAGGATTTTATTGTTATTTTTTCTTGGGGAATAACCAAAAAAACCCACACAGGTCTTGGTATGTCACTGCTGATGGTAACCTGCCTTAGCAATTTGGTCATCTCAGTTCTGAGCCAACTTCTGAATTTATGTGACAGAAAGGAGACAGTATTAAAAATATAACAGTAGCTTTATCCATGGTAATAATTAAATTTTCCAAAGAATGTCAGTTCCTCTCTTTTATTCACTTGATCCTTTGTATGTTACATGAATTGGCCAATAATTATGGAAATCGAGGATGTGTTATCAATCAGTGTTATAATATTTTTTTATTATTAATACTAAATTATTAATAACAATCACATTGGTGCCTATATTATATTTATAATCATTCTTAGTGAAAGGTCATCACCATTTGAGAACAAATACCCTGTGCCTGGGAAGATAGGCCTCTACGAAGGGAGTTATTCTGACCAATTGTTGGGATCCAATTCTTCAGTTCAAAGGTATTATATTTTAATAGAGTTTTTTATGCTAATTATAATGAAAAAATATCTTCTATTTATTTGTGTTTGAGTTATTAACTCTGGATATCTATCACTGTACTGCTTGAAAGCAAGATAATGTTTATAGTAAATGTTTGAAATGTTATTCATTCCCAATGCATTGAATTTTTTTTCTCACCAGTTTTTCATAAAAATTGTTTTGTACACTGACAGAACAAATTTGAGAAGTTAAATTAAATATTTACTGGGATTGTATAACCTATTTAAACTATGCATATAACTCTCAGCTCTGATGGCACTATGGTCCCTAAAGGGTCATATCCTACAACAATTCTCCTATATATATAGAGAGAGAGAGTTTTGATCTGAGCCATCAATATATATAACCTGAACCACTACAACCCATGAAGGGTCTTGAGTTCAGTACTATATGAGAAAGTACTGTTACAAGGTCAACGATTTACGGTTGTGCAGGGAGGTGATTGGGCCAATATCACACTGCCAGGTTTCTCCCCATAATTTATTATTTAATTAAGAGTACCCACTTTATAGATGCTGGATGTGCCCCAGGAGGGTCTCCTGGCAAAAGACTAACTTTATTTCCCCAGTAATCCCATATATATTATGTCTAGTATTAGTATTATGTATTGTTTACAATAACTAGATAGGATTAAACATTATACAGTCTTAACTCTAACCATAACTTATATATATATATATATCTTTTTGTTTTAAAATTTATCTATTTTTTTTTGTATTTATCAATTTATGCAAATGTCAATAACTACTATATATTTCCTAAGACTGTGGAAGACTATAATATTTGTCAATACTATTTTTTTTTTTAAAGTTTTATGTTATTACATGGTAATTTGAATGTTTATTGTAAAAATACCAAAAGGATCCAGTGCACATGGTGGTTATGTGAGTATATTCTATATGTGTATTACATCTGGATATTAATGGATTATTTCTACATTTAGCAGTGCTAGAGAAGCTGCTTTAGTAGAAAAAATAAGAAAACTTGAAGACCGATTGGGTATAACCTCAGCTCAGATCAGAGAATCACAAGCTTCTAAGCAGTTCTTAAAAGCAAAACTTAAATTACTCGAAGAAAAGGTATCTCATTATTAGTTAACTCCCAATTCTTCACACATATACATATTTTTATATAATTTTTTTTTCCTCGGTTTAAATTGGATCACAAATATAGCACACCAATTATAAATTCATTACATTCATTTTATAAGAATTATTCATATTATTTTATTATGAGAAAGTATCAAATTTCATTTATTAATATAACATACAATGTATGTTACCAAATAATCAAAACTTATTTACAAATAAAATTTGGGAGGTATAAATATTATAACAAACAAAATTATAAAACCTAAAATATTTAAATAGAATTTATATTAATACTATTGATAATTTTATATAAATATTAGTAAGAAGGCTAGATTTATTTAAAGTATAGTATCATTATACTTTAAATATTACATCATATTGTTTAGTTAATTATTTAATATTCCAATTTCACTTAAAATTATTTAATTTAAGCAATTCAAGCGGTTTTTACAGTTTAGGCAAACAAGGAATAGATTTGGTATAGTATTTGTTTGTATTCAAATTGATGTGACCTTCTATCCGAGAGCGGCCTCTCCAGACCCAAGTCCTTAAGGTGATGAAATATCAATAAGTAGCAAAGTGGCAAATAAATAATAAATAAGTGGCATGTAAAATGTGTCCTATTTCAAAAATAAACTATTATAATAGTAATTATTATTAAAACAAGGGAGGCAACAAAATTGGATCTCATTCCATGCTAAAATATTTCTCTGGCTGGTGCTGATGGTTTCTTATTAATTTCATCACATTCCATCAACAGTGGATGATCCACTACTTCAGCTGTGCCCATCCTTTTCAAGTTCAATGGTGCATGAACTCCTCTCCCTTCTTCCAAAATATTTTATTGCTGTCTTCTTTTTAAAAGTGCAAGCTAAAGTATAATTTTAGAAATCATAAGTCATATAGATCAAAGTTTCACTGGTCTATTCCATGCTTTCATCTTGTCGCCTGTTTTGAAACTTTTCATTTAGCAAATTCATAACATAATCGAAACCATGTCAAAACAATAATGTTAGTTTCAGAAATTATTATTTATATTTCATTATTATTTATGCAATTACACGTTGATACGACTTTTCGTTTTTGAGCTAGATTGGTCACACTCAAGCACGCACGTACGAATCAGGAGACCTCAAAACATGTATTTCCGTTGAAAACTCAGATACCAAAATTTTCACGATCGAATAATTTCTCTTACTATATATTTCATATAAAGGTAAGTGAAAGTAGTAGTCACGAGCCCGTATCTCGGTGACAGAGGGGTATTTTAAATCTCCGCTCTCATCCCTGGCCCGGAAAATCCTCGTATAACCTTAAAGGCGAGGACCCATAAACAATAAAAAAGATTAAGATGTTACAAGACATTAAGTTTATCATAAAAAATAAATCCTATCAATATAGATGAACAATAAATGATTTCTATTATATAAAAAAGCATTATTTTTTTTCTCTTTATTTTTAGGTACAGGAAAAGATTAATAGTGCGCGAGAGCCGGTGGAATCATTAGAAGTTAAACAACTGAATCAGCTAACTGCCTATGCTAAAGAAACACTGGAGAGGTTGAAAACTTTGAGGGGACTTCAGATGCAAGAACGTTGCATGAAAGAGAGCTATAAGCAAGTTGAGAATATGGCGGTACCCGGTTCTCCTTTAATGAAATATCCGCCTGGATTCAATTCGAACTTCTCATTTGCTAACCATTAAACTTGTTCCATGTGATTAAATTAATTAATTCATAAACCTGATTAGTTAGAAAAGAAAAGTATATCTTTAAGTTGATTTGTATTACATGGAGCGCACACTTTAATAAATCACCGTCTTTTCAACTTACAATTAGTGCCGCGTGAATTCATACTCGAGCTGCTATGATCTAACTGTTAACTGTTAACAGTAAGAATAAGTAATATATATGTATATACACTTGCAATAAATTGGTGTTTTTTTTTTATCTCTAAATCCTTGTTAGCAGGGAAGCAAGGGTACCCGCAAGGGTGTTTCATTGCTCAAGATGCACCATCACAATTTCTGAGGGGACCACATTTTTCGGGATTTTGGAGGGGAGCATATTTAGACGGTGTTATGAATTTTTGGGTTGAATAGTTTCATAAGTAGTATAATTCATAAGTAGTATAATTCATAAGTAGTATAATTCACAATTAATATTTCAGAAGTATAATTGTGTATAATTTACGGTACTTTTATTTCTGTTGTTAAAAAGAAGAGAGCAATAAATATCTTGGTGAGGGGAGGGGGCGGGGGTTCGTGCGCCATCGACCTTAGGGAAGAGAAGAGAGAAGGATGGGTACCCCTGCAGGGAAGTAAGTTGTGGGGAAGCAAGGGAAGCAGCTTCAAAATTTTTGAGGGGATAATTTGACTATTTAACTGAGATTAATTTTTTTTTCATTATTTAGTTTATTTAATGTTAGTTGGATTTAGGTGTGTTTGAATCCCTTTATAAAGTACTTTGCTACTAAAATCCTACAGAAATGCATTGCTTTAAATTTTTAAAAATTAACATTTCTATTTTTTAATTCCTGTAAAAAAAAATAATGAAATGAAACCTAGTAAAGTGACTGTTATCATCAAAACTCTTCTGTGATATGATTTACCAACATAACCTAAAGCCATCCAACTGCCAACAGCTTTTATGCTTCTGGAGCGGTCAGAAAGAAGCAGTACGGATATGACGTCATACCAAGATTGCCGTGCAGTGATATATGCTTCTCTCTATTCCACTAAAATAATGCTTAACTGTAATCAGTCGCTGCGGTGGGCAGTAAATGCGAAATAGTAGTGCATTTAATAGTCTGTTCAGACCCCATTTTATAAAATCATTAACATCTGCCTAAAACTTCGTGAATAGCTTCATCTCATCATAACCTACAACTTTTTTATTTTCGAAAATCCTCGGGATTTGGACGATTTCAATCTGGAGATGGACAAACTTTGTCTATTTAATTAGGAACTAAAACTCACTTGCTTTCCACTTGAATTGTAAGACACTCATAAAATTGAGAAAAAAGATGGTCTTCAAAAATATTAAGCCATTGGGCGTGACCTCCACCTCCAACATGTCAAAATAAGGTGGTCATATGAGCCGAACGGCCCAATATTTTTGTAGATAACCTTCTTTATCGACTTTGCTATAAAATTATCTTATGATTCAGTGGAAAGCAAACGGCTAATACCCTATCACACCATGTTTAAATAGAGAAAGAAAGTTAAATGATTAAGTAGAGATACATTTCAAATCTCAACCCAGTTCGAATATTAAAAAATAATTTACAATTATTCTATAGTATGAGGATTTGTTTTTAAATGTTTTGACGAAATATACTTTCTTCATAAAATATTATTTAAATTAAGTTTTCTGTTCATTAGTTTTACTTAATGTTTGTCCCTGATCTGTGGTGCCTGTCTTGAGGCGACTGCCCTGTAGTAGTCCAGTACCATTCTAATTTGTATTTCTTATGCCCTAATAAGGTATAATGTTATGTAAAAATAATACAAAAAATGTTTTTATTTATGTAAACAACTTTTAAAAAATGGATTGATAAATTATACGATGATTACAAAAATATTGAATGCAATTGCTTTACATTTTGCGAGAATTAAAATGGCTACAAGGTAGAGGCAACTTGATAAATAAATGACATGTAGTTTTTTTTTTGCTGTTGAATGGGATGTAACTGAGATGCAATATCCAAATATTCGACCTCGGCGGCATTCCAGATCACCTTTGAAAATCTCAAAAACTTTTATATATTCATCCTTTTTTGACCATGGTGACCGTTTAAGACAAAAGACACTCTATATATTTTTCAACTAAATTAAATTGACTATAATTTATACCAGAGTAGGTTCGGCAAACCAAATAGGTTTTGAACTACAGGTTTTCTAAATTTGGCAAATTTCCCAAACTTGAAAAATTTATGCTATAACAATTTTTTATGTTTATCACACGAAATTTCCTTTATATCTTTAATATCTGATGTCAGTCAGTGAAGTAAACATTCATTCAATTTAACAGTGAAAGAGAATTTTTAGGGAGCTGCTAACATTAGCAGTTTTTGGGATGTTCAAAAGTGATCTGAGGGACTACTGAGGTCGAAAACTTGGACTTTGCATCTCAATTCCCGTACAAGAAAAAAAATTAAACCTTCTATCACCATTGGATGCAGTTTAGATTCCCCTTTTAAAGATAAATTCACTGGACTGTGAGTCACGTCACGTCACCTCACCAAGCTGCTTCACAACTTTGCCCGGCCGTTTTAGGATTTCTATCTGCGCACGATCCTCATTTCCACGTCATATTTTTAAAAAAAAATATTCATCGATTTACGGACTTGGGTGTTTCGAAACCTCCTAAGTAAATTTTTTATTTCTATGTTAATATTTTAGTACGAATTTAAGGCAGTAGCGGATCCAGTATTTAATTTTGGGAGGACTTCAGCCCGAATGTTTTTTTGTTTTTTTTCATATATATAACGATGAATAAATTGAAAAAAGAAACTAACTACCTTTATGAAATGACGTTTAAGTGATTCTTGAAGTCCTATTAAATGTAATTACATGAACAATAATACATTAAAACGGTAGTTATTAGTATTTTTTTTTCTATAAAAAATGGTCATATTTCACCACTTTTTTTTTTTAGAGGGGAGGTAGGAATTTAGTCCGAAACCCATTCTTGATCTACTTGTGATTGAAGGATAGAATTAGAATTCGCTTTTTGACACCGCATTTGTCAAAATCCATTGCTCCTGAGAGCGAGAAAAAGGATCTATACTACCGAATAATAAACATAGTTTAAAAGGAAAAATTATAAATAAATCTTAGTTTAAAACTTTACACATTAAGAATGTAATGCGATAAGATTGCATTAGTACATTCTAGTTAAATTTGTTTGTACTTGTTCAATGCAGTTTTTAAATGTGGTAAAATAAATTTGGTTACAAGTTTCACTTTGTTAAAACATACTAAAATATATACGTGATACCAGAAGGAAGATATTGATTGTAGATACAGTGCCAGTATAAGAGGTTACTTGATTTTATTATCGTTATCATTAAAAATCTGATTTTTTTTAGTTTTCTCTTTTCTTACTCTACAATATTTGTAATTTTAGTTTTATTTATATCCTCATATCGAGAATAAGCCTTAACTATTTCAAATCTGCATTATTCTATGTAAAATTAATGATGAAATGAGCGTCACGAGTGTTTCGTTTGCCCCTCGATTGTTTCTCTTCTAAGGTAACACTCATGGAAATTAGGACTGCATATGGGCAAAATTGTACTCTGAGTAAAAAGTACAATTACAGAGTAATTTACTCAAATACTCGCCCGGTTCGAGTATCGAGTACTTCAATCACTACTCGACCTCATGATTGACGAGTACAAAAAGTAATCAGCTGTCCTCGTGAGTACTTTCTATTTTCAAATCTACTCGGGAATATTTTACTCTGAGTACTTTTCAAAGTAATCGAGTATTTCATTATAAAAATTACAGGAGTAGAATATTTAATATTTCTTCCATGTTTAAGTCCATTGTTATCTTATGGGGGTATAGTTTTTTAAAATAGTATCGATATTAATGTAAATCGATAAAATAAAGAATTATTAAAATATTTTGGATTTAATCAACTTTGGGGACCATTTTTTTTTTTTCTTTTTTACACCACTTGACTTTTATGATAATGCTGTCGGATTTGAGATAGTGCCCCCGGGCCCCGACTTTTTTAAGTTTTTGTGTTAAATCGATATCAGGGTCGATTAGTATGTTTTGGGGGGCGCTTTTTATGAAAATGATATCGAATTTGAGATTAGGCCCCCCGGGCCCCGACTTTTTTTAAGTTTTTGGATTAAATCGATATCAGGGTCGACTATTATGTTTTGGGGGGCGCTTTTTATGAAAATGATATCGAATTTGAGATTGGGCCCCCCGGGCCCCGACTTTTTTTAACTTTTTGGATTAAATCGATATCAGGGTCGACTATTAGGTTTTGGGGGTCGCTTTTTATGAAAATGATATCGAATTTGAGATTGGGCCCCCCGGGCCCCGACTTTTTTGAACTTTTTGGATTAAATCGATATCAGGGTCGACTATTAGGTTTTAGGGGGTGCTTTTTATGAAAATGATATCGAATTTGAGATTGGGCCCCCCGGGCCCCGACTTTTTTTAACTTTTTGGATTAAATCGATATCAGGGTCGACTATTAGGTTTTAGGGGGTGCTTTTTATGAAAATGATATCGAATTTGAGATTGGGCCCCCCGGGCCCCGACTTTTTTTAACTTTTTGGATTAAATCGATATCAGGGTCGACTATTAGGTTTTAGGGGGTGCTTTTTATGAAAATGATATCGAATTTGAGATTGGGCCCCCGGGCCCCGACTTTTTTTAACTTTTTGGATTAAATCGATATCAGGGTCGACTATTAGGTTTTAGGGGGTGCTTTTTATGAAAATGATATCGAATCTGAGATTGGGCCCCCCGGGCCCCGACTTTTTTTAACTTTTTGGATTAAATCGATATCAGGGTCGACTATTAGGTTTTAGGGGGTGCTTTTTATGAAAATGATATCGAATTTGAGATTGGGCCCCCGGGCCCCGACTTTTTTTAACTTTTTGGATTAAATCGATATCAGGGTCGACTATTAGGTTTTAGGGGGCGCTTTTTATGAAAATGATATCGAATTTGAGATTGGGCCCCCCGGCCCCGACTTTTTTTAACTTTTTGGATTAAATCGATATCAGGGTCGACTATTAGGTTTTAGGGGGTGCTTTTTATGAAAATGATATCGAATTGAGATTGGGCCCCCGGGCCCCGACTTTTTTTAACTTTTTGGATTAAATCGATATCAGGGTCGACTATTAGGTTTTGGTGGGCGCTTTTTATGAAAATGATATCGAATTTGAGATTGGGCCCCCCGGGTCCCGACTTTTTTTAACTTTTTGAATTAAATCGATATCAGGGTCGACTATTATGTTTTGGGGGCGCTTTTTATGAAAATGATATCAGATTACGAATCATTTTCATACATTTTGAGATAGTGCCCCCGGGGCCCGACTTTTTGTAACCTTTCGGATTTAATCGATATCAATGTTGATTATGAGGTTTTGGGGAACACTTTTTATGAAAATGATGTTGGATTTTTTTTTTTATAAAATCCGTCCCCTAAAACATAATAGACGGCCCTGATATCGACTAATTCCAAAAAGTGAATCCACTGGGTGCAATCTCAAATCCGACTGTATTTTCATAAAAAGCACCCCCTAAAACCTAATAGTCGACCCTGATATCGATTTAATCCAAAAAGTTAAAAAAAGTCGGGGCCCGGGGGGGCCCAATCTCACATTCGATATCATTTTCATAAAAAGCGCCCCTCAAAACACAATAGTCGACCCTGATATCGATTTAATCCAAAAAGTTAAAAAATGTCGGGGCCCGGGGGGCCCAATCTCAATTTCGATATCATTTTCATAAAATGCATCCCCCAAAACCTAATAGTCGAACCTGATATTGGTTTAATCCACAAAGATAAAAAAAGTCGAGCCCCGGGGGGCCCAATTTCAGATTCGATATCATTTCCATAAAAAGCACCCACTAAAACCTAATACTCGACCCTCATATCGATTTAATCCAAAAAGTTAAAAAAAGTCGGGGCCCGGGGGGCCTATTCCCAAATTCGGTATCATTTCCATAAAAAGCACCCCCTAAAACCTAATAGTCGACCCTGATATCGATTTAATCCAAAAAGTTAAAAAAAGTCTGGGCCCGGGGGGCCTATTCCCAAATTCGATATCTTTTTCATAAAAAGCACCCCCTAAAACCTAATAGTCGACCCTGATATCGATTTAATCCAAAAAGCTAAAAAAAGTCGGGGCTCGGGGGGCCCAATCTCAGATTCGATATCATTTTCATAAAAAGGACCCCCTAAAACCTAATAGTCGACCCTGATATCGATTTAATCCAAAAAGTTAAAAAAAGTCGGGGCCCGGGGGGCCTATTCCCAAATTCGATATCATTTTCATAAAAGGCGCCCCCCAAAACATACTAATCGACCCTGATATCGATTTAATCCAAAAAGTTAAAAAAAGTCGGGGCCCGGGGGGCCCAATCTCAGATTCGATAGCATTTTCATATAAAGCGCCCCCCAAAACATAATAGTCGACCCTGATATCGATTTAACCGGAAAAGTTATGAAAAATCGATGCCCGGGGGCACTATCTAAAATCCGACAGTATATTTTTATAAAAAGGGCCCCCCAAGACATGATGGTTAGTCTAATATCGATTAATGGTGGCTCGGGGTTGGTCAGGTCGAATATGGCCGCTATTATTGAAGGAAATAAAAGAAAACATTTGTACTCTTTATAATAATGACGGAGTAGTTGAAAAATAAAAAGTACTCTTTGTAGGAATTCGGCTGAGTACTTTCTGTAATTCGATATAACAGCGCGAGTATTTTCTGTACTTAACTAAATCATGATTAACGCTGCGTGAGTACTCTCAGTACCCGCCGCTGTCAGGCCGAGTACAGAAACTACTCGATACTTTTTCTTAATAAAATTACTCAAATCATGAAAGTAATCGAGTACTGCCCATCTCTAATTGGGACTGCATATCTATGCTATTGGAAACTAAATCGAATAAAACATTTAAAAAAGTACGTTTAACTGAATTATTTTGGTAACATGTGACAAGGCATTGAAACCCTCGTCATATTGCACTGTTTTTACTTTCACTTACATATATGTAATATATAGTAAGGGTAAGTATTGCGATCGTGAAAATTTTCGAATCTCAGTTTTCAACGGAAATACATGTTTTGAGGTCCCCTGAGTTAAAATAACCAAGTGTCGCAAAATGGTCTGTGTCTGTGTGTGTTAACAATCTAGCTCATAAACGAAAAATAGTACGAAACTGACATTAAGTATTTAAGGTTTGTATATGGGCCGGATGTGACAGCAACTTTTTCGTTATAATCGGCTAACCGGAAGTGCCACTTTATATGAACGCTGAAACACATTTTTACAATTTTCTCAAAAACGACTTTAACGATTTTGATCAAACTCGGTGTATCATTGTATAATTAAGTGGTCTTTAATATCATTTAGGTCTTATCCCCGTTGATGTCACTTTACAGGGCTTAAATGCCCAATGTTCATATATGTCTTACTCTAAAGTACATTTAATATGGTTTATTTTAAAAAGTTAAACATTTCGCATTATTCAGAGCTACGAAAAAATGCTACATATAACTTTTGAAAGAATTTGATAAGTTAATAAAGGAGAAAAAAAAATAAAAATGCAGAAAAACCTGCGTTCCTACAGACTGTAGCGCCTAAACGAATGTACCGATTTCAATGAAACTTCGCTAAAGTCATTTTCTCGATACCCTTTAAATTTATCTATATAACATACTTCAACGAAAAGAAGCTGGAAAAAAAGTTACGAGGGATGTTAAAATTAAATTCCGAATAACTTTAAAAGTATACGCTTATATTATATATGGTTTTTAAAAGTTTATGGAATTTCATAAAAAAATCGGACAATTAGGAGGACTAAAAAAACCTTTTTTCTACAGATATTTAATAAAGTGTCTTTCCTAAGAACATCTTACATAAGAAAGTAGTACCTAAATTTATACTTTTATTCTCAGTTCTATATTTCAACACTGCAATCACTACCTCTGGAATCAACTTACACAATGTCTGCATAGATAACTTTTTCAACTAAAAATATCACTAAAATGACATCACTCAAAAATGTTGAAATTGGAGTTAGTCATTCTGTGGTTTATAAAAGCAAAGAAAGTTGTGTGGTTTATAAAAGCAAAGAAAGTTGTGTGGTTTATAAAAGCAGATAGAGTGAATAGATTTTTACTGCCAGTCATCGATATATTAAATAGACATTTTGTAATTATAATGGTCTTAATGACTTGTTATCTGTAAGCTTATCTATCCAAAGTAGATCGGTAATTGAAAGTTGTGTGTTGCGCGCACCAGATTGTTTATAGTTATATTTCTCTACAGTTAAATTTGATCTTAAAAAACACACATGTGAAAGGGAATGGCTATTATTTGTTAATTTAGCATAATAAAAATCAGCATAATTTGTAGCAAACACAAATGAAATTATTTTAGTAATACTCAAAACTGACATTGTAATTGAAAACGTTATAAACTGACACCATCATAAATTTTTAAGGAATATAATTAAATACTTTGCATTAACCTATTTTAATTTTTCTTCTAATAACATATTATTACAATATTAATCGTTAAAAACGTATCTATTTATACAGAAGTAATTAAAGATGTCATAACCTGACAAGAAAAACGAGTCTAAAAATGTTTTTTTAAAGTTTAGCTAGAATATTACAAATTTGTTATCTAGTGTTTTATTTCATATCAAAAGTAAAGTAGAAAAAGTAATGAAACTTTTTGGGCTGTAAAGTTCCATAAATTTTGAAAATGGCCCATTAGAATATAACTTAAATGTTTTTCTTTCCTTTCATTCTTTTTTAAAATATTCAAGATAATATACGCCTTTGGAGCTATCTTTTCGGTTATGTTTTCATGTGCTTATAATTACAAATTTGGATTCGAGATAGCCATATGGATAAAATCTAAGTATAATCTTAACCTAAATTTTCCGTGATTTTCGGGCTTGGCCTTGTCTTAATCAATCAGTTTGAAGATAAGAGGAAGACTTGACAAGTCGTTACGTAGAAGTGAGTTAATATATCGAAGACGCTGATATATAGATGGCCGGTAACTATTAAAACATGTTATTGTTATGTACGCAAAAAAAAGAAATGTTATTGATTATTGCTATTTTAATACTTTACTTGCAGAAAATACTATGTATTGAAATCAAAAAGAATTTAGATTATGAATGTATAGAAAATGTATAGATTAAAAAATTGATACATTTTGAGAACGATATCATAATTTAATACAGACTTAGTTACATAATATTGATAGCATTGTCTGTTAAAACAATTCAAAACTCTTAAAGGTACAATTATGATTTACATACAAATCTGATCTCAAGGTCAATGATATATTTTATGCAAATAACAAACATTGAAAGGTTAATTGTTATTTTTTTAAAACATTTTAAAAGAAAATAATTAAGAAAAGAAACCTAATTCTACTTCTCTTGAATAAATTGCCCTTTAAATAAGTGAACCCGTTGGGTTTATCAATCTTTGGCAAAATATGCAACAAATGGATTATTGTCTTAATAGCCATAAAGGCTTATAAAAATTATTAGTCTTTATGCTCTTCAGTAAAACACTCAAATTTTACAGACGACCTTTTTGCACTAACAGACTGATATGCAAGTTCAGTATGCTCTGGATGTTTTTGTTTTAATCACGAATTATCAAATATGCAATCTGCAAATGCGGAACTCTTTCGCATATCAGTATTCGTTGATAACCAAAAGTCGTGGATATCAATCACGTATGTGTTAAGTGATTACTGAATTTCTGAAAATGGCTTCTCCCAGAGATTTTATTGTCTTAAGAAAAAATTTAGATCTTGTAATAAAAATATTTTGTAGCTAATGAAAACGGAGAGGAAGCTATACTGACCTTACTTGACAGACGTTTTTAATAACTTAGAAGTTTGAAGTATTTGTCTAGGATCCATGGGCAATACTTGCCGTTTAAGTCTTGTGTGAAGATTCCAAATTAAGAAACTTGCCAAGGTGGAATTTAATACTATTAATATTTATACAGAAATATAACAATCTGTCACACGGACAATACTTGTAGTGAGATATGAACACTATATATACAGAAAACATAAAATAAACAAAAGCAAAATAATAATAATAAAAATGTATAAACAATAAAAAATAAAATAACTTAAAAATAAGGAAATTAAACAAACGTATATATACCTACATACGCTTTTTACAATCAGGCGAGGGAACTGCGAGGCAGGCATGTCCCTCCAACTATGGAGGGAAATGCAGGACTCCAGGAGATCCCTGCGCTACTCTCTCAACCGCATCACTGGTACTAAAGCCAGCGGAGATTGATCAATAGCGCTTCAGCCACATACTGTTTATATTAATTAATATGACTAAACGATATTGTAGGACAGGATTTTGTGGGTGCACGATGTATAGTTGAAAGGATTTGTTGGAATTTATTTTAATACCACAGTTTTGTTGACACCATTCTTCACTGGCTATGATGTGTGAGTTTGAGATGTATGTAGCTGTTGGGTCACTAATAATAAAGAGATAGCACACCTGTCTCACAGAAAGTGAGGACATCCCTTAGCTGTGTAGAGAATGTCCCTTGGGCACTGATTTGAGGGACTCCAACTTCTACTATGAGTTGGCTATTTTGTTATTATGCCTCTTGCTCCATTCATTAACTTCCTCGATTGCGTCATATATCTTTTGGAGTTCCTTTCTTTCGAAAACTAGCAATCTGTTCTCGCAGGCCTTCTTCATCGTCCAAGTTTTAGACCCATATGTCAGAACCGGTCGTATAAGAACTTTGTACTGGTGGAATTTTGTAGATCCGGTACCTCCTGATTCAGCCCATTATCTATTGTCACCAGTGGTGGATCTAGGAATTTTCTCAAGGGTGGGGCACGCCTCTGTGCCAGATGCTTCCCCATCCCTACCCGTTCCCCCACCTCTACCCATCTTCCCCCACTCCTTAGCTGAGTTCAGCGGTTGAAAAGTTCTCTTTAAATGGTTTTAACAAAAGCAATCTCTATTTTCATTCAAAGTAAATGTTGTCTGGTTTACAGTGAAACAATCGTTAATTACTTAAATTAAAAAATGACAAAACTTTAATTGCCTACTTTCCTGTTGAAAATCGAACCATTGTTTATATAAACTTTTTTGTGTTTATTGAGTTCTGCTATCACTGCTTTAAATATCTCCCTCTACTTACGATACACCCTGTGTATGGGTTTAGACATATAAAAAACTAAATTGTTATAATTATAGTTAAATGGTTGGTATTTGTTGTTATTTATATTAAATTGTTATTTCATAATAATTATAATTATAACAAAATATAATATAAATAATATTACATATAATGTAATAAGTAATATATTATATTCAAAGAGAAAATGTCTAGACCGAAAAATAACTTCAGTCACCTATACGAAATTAAACCACCTCCAGATGAATACCATTTTCAGTACAAATTTTCGGTCTAAAATATTTATTTTTTATTAGGAGAGTAGGAGGTTACCGAAGCTCAATACTTTAACGAAGACTCTAGGGTTTAAATCTCTATTTTGTATTAGGGTAATAGGAGGTTACAGGAGCTCAACACATTTGCAATTAAATGAGCAGCTGTATAATTAGTGGTAATTAGGAGTGGTAGATAGAAGAGCTCTAGTAATCTCCAATTCTCCTAATACTAAAATAAAATATGAAAGTCAATAAAAACATGTTCATATAATAGAGAGATGTCATAAACATGAAATGAGCGTAGTTTATGAATGAGTAACGAAACTAAGAAAGATTATGAGGCAGGTAAAACGTCATATTCATTAACAACTACTGAACAGCTCTTGTCTGGCCAGGCAAACAAAAATGGACTATAAACTTGAAGATATTTCCAAACCTGTTAGTTCGATGTTACATTGTAAAAGTAATTTTATGAAAGCAAATATTTACAATTACTTTATTAATAGCTGATAATCATTTAAGATTGTTTTTTTTTCTTCTGTTTAGCAAGGAAAGTCAAACGCGATTCTACTTCTTCTTCCTCCAACACCCGACCTAGAGATAGTATAATCGATGAGTTGCCACCGGAAGAAACCGAGAAGAGGGGATATGTCTGGGTAGGTGGGTGAATTCCATTTGGCTTCTTAGTTCACACTAATAGTAAGTAGCCTATCTAACTTGCTGTAATGATTGATTGATTATATCGATTGATTATATCGTATTGAAGCCTCTCAATTTTATACATAACGAGTCCAAGAACAGGATAATAGAAAAATACATTAACTTGGGATCCTTGGACTCGAACGAAAAAAGATTTTAGCTAAATAATGCATTGGTCACTCTTCATGGAAACATAGACATGGTTTACATTCTCTATAAAGGATGACAGCATAGATTCTGAGGCACTTTACCGGGTTCCTGCTACATTTTTCGGTTTGGGTCCAAGTAACCCCCATGGTAGCAGTAGTAAGTAATGGTACTGCCTAAAACGTCTTTACCAGTGCGATCCTCTTGCATTAATTCTAGTATCCGATCCTTTAGCTACCAATAGGACGCACAGTGGGGCCGATAGCTGATCTAGGAGGACGAAATTAATTCAGCTTGAGTTTCGATTGGAAATCACGTATTCGTCACACAGTAATTAAAATAACTTAAATTTGGGACTAAAATTTATTTTTGGTTTATTATTTTCAATAATGAAACATTGTGATCGACCGAAAAATTCAAAAACATAACCCCCTCTCAAAATTTGAGGTTTCACGTTTCAAGACGCGTAGAATTCGAAAAACGAATTAAAATGTTTTTGTCCGTCCGCCGTCCTCGCATTTTCTCCTAAACTACTGGACCGATTTTTTTTTTCAAATTTCGATATAAAATCAGAGGTCACCCGAGGATGATCCTCCTTCATCGACATTACTCTCCGCCTTTAACTTTCAAAATGGCGGCTGAAAAACCTGCGTTGCTATGGACTGTAGCTAGTAAACGAATGTACAGATTTCAATGAAACTTCGCTAAAGTCATTTTATTGACGCCCTTTAAATGTATCTATATAACATACTTCAACGAAAAGAAGCTGGAAAAAAAGTAACGAGGGATGGTAAAATTAAATTCCGAATAACTCGAAAAGTTTTTACTTTTTTTTGTAGTTTTTAAAAGTTTACGAAATTTCCTAAAAAACAAAAAAACAAAAATCGTTAAAATCGGACAATTAGGAGCAAAGACATGTTCTCCGGTTTTTTTTTAATGTGTTCTACTCCAAATGTTATATCCTTGGTTAGGTTTTTAAATTTTAAATGTGTTACTGAACTAATGCTATTTTTTTAAACATATTACTAATGATTAAAGAAAAACAGTTTAGTCCAATAATTGGAATCACCTATTGTTTTTTTTTTCTTTGTAACTCGGAAGGTAGTGTTGCTTTAGATATATAATTGTTTGGAGATAATAAACCATTGTGAAATAATTTGCAGCGTTTTTTAAATATTAATTTTTAAAATCATTATTACTAAGAAATAATAAAAAAGCTAACAATAATATTAATAAAAATAAAACCAGTATGGAAGTATTCAAATTGATTTAATCTATTTACTCAACCTTATAATCAACATCACTCTATGGCTAAAGTCCCTTCTTATGTTCCTCCATCCGGTATATTCCTGTAAATAAATATAAACATTTTAAATGTAAATCATAAATAATTGTAGTTTCAGCTCTACATATTACAACTACTGTTGTATTCGCCGTCAAAACTACTTTTCTCAACTGCAGTAGTTGTAGTTTTGAGCTTTAACACGTTTTATTGGCTTCGAGGAATAGTAGTTGTGGTTCGGCAAATATTTACTATAAAAAGTATTTTTAGCTGCAACTACTTCACAACTGCTCCCAGAGATGCCTATTCCTACCAAGGTCGATGACCTTCCCCCATCCATCCCAAAATATCTTATTTTTCTTACAAACAGTGTAAGCCAAAGAAGAATTTAAAAAATCGTAGATTATATACAATTAAACATCCTGCAGTATGTTCTATGCTTTCCCTTGTCTTTTGTTTGAAACATTTCATTTCGATAATTCATAAACCCTTCGAAATACGTCCTCTAAAAAATTCAAAACCCCGCCAAAATGTGCTACCTTCAAACATTTTGCTAGCGCAACTAGTGCCATGAGACTTCCTTCTTGGCACCTCTGACTGTTATGTATAATTAAACTACTTTTTACCCAACACAGGCACCTCAAGCTGGACTCAAGAACGGATTGCGGTTGTAGCTTACTCAAAAACTAAAAATTGTAAAAGCCTTTCCTTCTGCTAGGAGAAAATGTCCTCTTCTGAATTAATCACAAAATCTTTTGGTTGGGCTTACAAAAACTTTGAAACGCTATATCTCCTTAGTACATTCTCTTTTTTCTATGAAAAAAAAAATATAATGGATTAATAATATTTTAAAAAAATGCATATACGGAATATGGGCGAGTTCATACGCCGACTCGCCCATATTCCATATACGTAGTTGCTATAAATCATTTTTGATTCTTATTATGACCCTTCAAAAAAATTCCTAAATTGTAGTCAAGAAAAAAAAAATTTGAATATTCAGGTTTTTGTTAAAGGATTAATTACAAATTAAAGGAGAAACATCACATATTACGTCAACAACTGGTATAGGTTGTATTTGTTTTACTAATTAATTTATGATGCTCAAACTACGATTTGAGGATCTTTGATAGTACGCTTTTTTATAATTGCCCATTATATATTTTTTTGCATAAAAAGATTTTGTAATATTTACAATAATTTTATGAAATTTTCATTGCCGTCCCAACGATTTTTTTTTTTTTTAATATGCCTTCATTTTGCAAAATATGACAGAATCCATATTATTTCCAGTTAAAGGGACCTTATCTGATGAAGAAGAAAGGGCAGCAGCTGAATTCGGCACGCTCCCAGACATCAATTCTTTACCGATCCACGAAATCAGTAGCTGCAGTAAGTTTTTCTTTGTAATTTTGTGACTTAAACATCAAAGAGATATTGAATGAATGAACGAAAATAATTTTATTATTCTGGGACTAGTGTACAGAACATATATTGCCGTCAGTATTTTTCAAGGTTTCTGACTATGAATGTTGCAATGTATAGTAACATAGTTTTTTAATTTTTGGATGAATATAGTAAACAAATCTCATGATTCAGAATGTAAAACTTCAGATATTTAATGATACTTTTATTTTTTTATTTAATTTCAATTTAAGGTACCATGTACAACAACAAAGGTTAGAGGCATCATGTTACAGAATTCGATAATTTAAATCATTTTATATAGTTTCTTATGCTTGAATAATTGCAGTAACTTCTTCTGGTTTTCCTGTTCCAAGGCTTGACGGTAGCTCCGGAGTCTTTGTGAAATTCTTGAAGGACAGAACATAAGCGTTATAATATATAATAAAACTGTTAAAATAATGTATAATAAAACTGTTTAAGTCTTTGCCATCTTCTTCTATTCTGCCAATGTTTTCCACGCATAACCCTGTTCATCATTCCTTCCTTGACTCCCTCATACATTTCGTATTAGTCTTTTGTCTAGAAGGAAGCCAAGTTAGTGGAATATGTCTGAATAGGAAAGTGGTATAGAATTAAAAATTCAATTTTATTCATTGACTTTGATTCGCCGATTGTTACACCACTGCTCAATCGGGTTAAAAGGTACCTTTTTAGGTTTAGAGGTTCTATTTCAGGGTCTATAAAGGAGAAGAGGATGGTGGTATCATTAGCAAACGTTGAAAGGAAGTTATAGTGATTTTGAGTGATATCAGCGGTGATAAGAATCCAGAGAGCGGACCCAAGACGCCTTGAGGAACCCTGGCCTCAACTCAACGAGGATCGGAAACTACAGCAGATTCGTAATAAACAGTTTGAGAGGTAGCATCCTAAGGAGGAAGTAGAGGAATTGGTTCAAGTCGGAGATTTGGGAAAAAAGAGTGGTTGCAAAGTTTTTTTCTGTTGATTTTCAGGGGGAGCTATCACAAGTAGAGAGGACTGAAGGATTGAGATTTAAAGGTAACCATTTCTTTTTTACATGTTTGGAATATTAGTAATCTCTGATCTTTGACTTCTTTGCCAGAGGGTCCAAAAGCATCGTTTGTAATGGATATCTAAAATATCATAAGGTAAAGGGTTGTTCTTTAAGTGTAAAGAATTTGGGGCAGATAGAATATGCAGACCAAACTGCTTGTTGTAACAAGATGTAGGTATTTACAGCCTTCTCTATGTCTTAAAGAGTTTTAAAAGATACGATTAATCCAGTGAATTTAGGATTTTATATCAAGAAAATTCATAATTGGCTGTAAATCTAGGGATTAGTTCCTCATCGAATACAAAAAAAAACACATGAAAATTCCCCTCATTTTCCATGTCTGCTTCTATCCAAAATGGTGGGTTTAATATGGCAACCAAGCACTTTCTGTCTTGGGTCATATCTCCGTCATAAACCAATCGTTTATTGGTCAGTTAAGTTTCGGTTAGTTGGCTATGATCTTGTTCTTGTCATGTAATAAGATTTAGTTAGTTGGTCGTTTGCATTTGAAAAGGAGAATGGAATGAGATTCGATCAAGAACATCAAGAATAAATTAATTTTCTATTTTTCAAAATGTTTTCGATCTCATTCCAAAAACAATCGAATGATTGTCAGAATATTCTCTGCTTTTTAAATGTATTTCCTGTCAAATCTGAAATGCATGAATTGTGAATTATTTATCAAAAATTTCTTATAAAAAACATGGTATAACGGCTTAACGGCATAAGTCATGAATTATAATTTAAATAAGTTCTAAATATGCTACGAATACTATGAAGCTTATGCTAATAGGCAGTATGAGAACCTGAAGAGAAATTTGAAGTGAATTTTGATAATACTTTCACTGTACACATTCGTTAGGTGTTGAAAACTATCTTATACTATTAACCAAAAATTGATCTAATCAGTATTATGGGTTTTCTTATCACTGGTGTAATTAGGTACGAATACATACTTAATCTTAATTTGTAAGTTGATGATCAAGATTAAAGGCTTGCTGATTTCCTTCCCCGTTTGTTTCAGCTCTTGCAAAGGAAAAAGTGCACGAGTTGATTGTTGGAGACAGTTGGAGAGAAGGTAATTAATTTATTTTTTATTTTTGAAAAACTGCGCTTTAAAGCAAGATTGAACCTTATTATTTGTTTATTGCATGTACATATATTATTATTATGAAGTTGAGTATTTTTTAGGTATGTAAGCCTTTTTTTTTTACAATATAAGTTTTATGCCAATTTAGACGTTTCAAAAATACCAGGAACACGAACAAATTAAAACAAAAACAACAAAGTAAGGTGTTCAGACATTTCTGTGTATCCAAAGAAACAAACAAAGCATATTTGGGAATCGCATTTCGTGTAACCTATTGTAATTTTAAAAATAAATCAAATTCAAGCAAACGAAATTTGTAAAATAAATATAAAATTTGTCAGAAGATGGTGGATGAAGAAAATCCATTTAAATCGTTTAAGGAATCATTAAATTCAACAAAATCTCTTAAAGAAATACAAACAATGTTTCTAAACTACTAATATTTTTTCGTTAATACAATCAAAATATTGTTCTAAAAACGTTATTATGCCATTTATGAGTACTAAATAATGTGCAAAGGGTTCTAGGCGCCAATCAAGGAAGTTATATAAAAAAACAAGCAAGAAAAAATTCTTACCTATATCTAAATAAATTTACACCTAATATAATTTACTTCTTTCCGTGATAGGAAACTGGAGAAACGAAACAAAAGAAAACTATAGAAACAAAAAACTGAAGGAAAATATTGAAGAGAAATTCAAACAATTTCGTGACTCATAATTGATACTGGGGTAATAAGGTGTTCAGCTCCCCACCCCATGTATTTGGTTTTATCTTCATTTAGTTGTAGCTTGATTTGTTCTTCTTCTCTTACCACTATGCCCGATTGATAGTAATATAGGTAATATATATTTATAACTGATTCTGTCAATAATCTTATTCAATAAATTTTCACTTTTACAACATATTACATGGAAAATATATTTTATTTATTTTCGAAAAAAAAACAATAATAAAAACGGTTGGTCTTACCAAAAAAGTTTTATTGTATATTAATTCAGAATGACCGACATGCTGTAATAAATTCAGTTTTTCAAATATCTTGCTTAAATTGAAAGTTTCCCACGGTTTTTCTGTTTTTATGCCTTTTCCGACTACTGTGCCGCGTGACATTTCGTGTAGCATGTAGAGCTCTAAATTCCTAATCATTTTTGTATGGATCAGTGGCGCTGTTCTAAAGTTATCACATATAATTTTAAAACGACTGAAATCTAAAAGTTATGGATGTGGTATGGAAGAGCAGTAATTCAGTTTCCAACGGTTGCACTAACGACGAATTCGGAGGAAATCCCGAGAAATTATTTAGTAATCGCCCAGAAAAAAAAAAATGCTAAAATAAAATGAGGTATTGAATTTTATAATTTTTAATAAATATGAAAATAAGTATTAAAGAATTTCAAAGAGCACTGACAACGAATCTAACTTGCTTGTTATTAACAAAAATCTATTTGGTATACTTTACTAAAAGCGTCCTTAAGTATTTGTAATTTATGATAAATTCTAACTCATTTAATACAATAGTAAATATTTTTTTTCTTATTTGCATAAAGAAATAAATCGATTAGTATATGATTTCCTAAAATTCCATGCAAAAATAAATAACATAAATTTTGTTTGTAATTATATAAAAAAAATTGTTTTCTCGCCTCCTATATTTTTGGAAGTTTCACCGAAAAAAATTTAATTGAAATCGGTGAACCACTGACTGCAGCCCCCCGTAAGTCAAAATGATCGTTTTTCGGATTTCCATCTTTTCTTAGTCACAAAACTGAAATGTTTCTGGAGGTGAAACTCACTAAGTTATATCTTTATTTATTTCTAAGTTTTTTAACCACATTAATTACTTTAGCCTAGTAGTAGTAGCCTAAAACTCAAAACATGGTTTTTAAATTAGTGTGTTTCACCTGTGACCTGACGATATAAAGTAGTAGAAGCTAATAGTGGGTAATGACAGTTTAATTGTTGTAATTATCAATGTCGTATTTTATGTTATTGAGTAGAAAGTAATAATTTTATTGGAATTTCCTCCGGAAATAAGGGGAGTTGTTATTTTAGTTTGAAAATTTTAAAATATATAATGCCCAGAACCGATATTTTATGTAATTTTCTTAAGTTTTTATTTATAATTAACATGATACTCTCAAAATTTTATTTAAATAAAAACAAAAAATTAAATCCACGTATTCGCAATTTCGATCAAAACTCCATCCCGACCATACGTTAGTTTGGCGCTACAACGCGTTGTCGCGTCCAGGCCTCCTCAACCAGCAACCTCCAGTAGTTTCTGTTCTGTGCTGCTGCCATCCAGTTGTTGACTCCCAAACTCCTGGCATCCTCAGCCACGCAGTCAATCCATTGAAGTCGGAGGCACGACCATACTTAATCCTCAGAAGAAGTCATGTATAATTGTGTAGAAACTTCTGATAAAATAAAATAGTTTTTTTTGCTATCTTATTCTTTTTATAGCCGCCCGCAGGAAATTCTCTTTCCTCAAATAATTAACAGCATTTAGGTTGGTAAGTGAAAGTTGTATGAGTCACTGGAGCAGATTTTTATTGTTACTATCAACCTAGAGTGGTTATTATTTTAAAAAAATATATTTTTCCCATGGAAAAATTAGAAACCATATAAAAAATAAATTAAAAAGTAAAGAATAAAGTTTATGTTCCAGGTCCACCCGATCGGAGGGCATCAGAGGACTTCCGGTTGTATATTCCTTCATTTATAAGGCACATGCACAGCCTCTTCTCCCGCCCTCCAGAGGTCATCAGAAAGGGATCCCAATGCGTCCAACAGATCCTGGAACAGATGCCGACGCCCCTTTCAGACAGGCTAAGCTACACAGAATCACCAACCCGCTGTCTCTCTCCACGCCCGCCAGAGTTAAACGGGGAGTCTTCCAAGCAACCAGAAGAACCAGTAGAAGAAGTTCCTTCCCCACCGGAACCAGAAGTTTCACCCCCACCAGAACCAGAAGTTTCACCCCCACCAGAACCAGAAGTTTCACCCCCACCAGAACCAGATCGAGATTTGAATGCAATTTACGCCGATCCCGAGATCGAATTGGAAGAAATCCCAACACCTCCGGAACCGGTGTTACGTTCTACTGGGGAGAAGAAGAGGAAACTTAGGCTTAAAATAGTTGAGGAAAGAGGTAATGCCATCGGTATATTTTACAGTTCAAGGACAGTCATTTAGGAATTTCTGATAGACCTGGTCGTTTTTTAGAGATAAAAAATTAAAATGAATTAATTAGAGGGCAACTAAAAAGTTGCCCTCTAATTAACAAATCGGTTTGTTAACAAATCAAATCAAATTGACTACCATTTAAATTGAGGTGTTCACAAAATTATCATTCTTTAGTTATCCCATTATCCTTGCTGGAAGGTCATACATTCATTAATTAATAGTACTATCTTTTCAGTTCCAGACTACAAACCGTCGGGAAAGCAGCCATATATTAGAGATTACATTTTGAATAAAGTTCAAGATTTGGAAAACAAACTGAAGAGTGTCCACCATGATATTTCCGATTCAAAGGACCGCCAGGGCCAGCTGCAGCACCAGTTCTTTGAAATGGAAATATTGAGGCTTGTCGAAAAGATTTCACAAGACGAGACACCGTCTGAGACCGATGTTGCCAAATTGGAATATCTTACAGATCAGCTCAAACTTGTACAAGGGAAGAAAAGAACGGAAGAATTACAGTAGTGCTTTAATTTAAAAAAATTTTAATGTGATAACTGACATGATTCGTGTTATTTATTACACATGGTTTGAATAAATATTTTTAATAGATTGTATAAAACTCTTAACATATTTGGATTTGATTTTGTTTCACTAGATCATTCGTTCCATTATTTCGCTAGTCACAAGTACCGATCAATGAGTTCGGTCAGGAGTGCCCAGAAGGGAACTGCATGGTGTTTTTACAGTTATTTAATCCGTCTTCAAAGTTTTTGACGGAGCATATTTTTACGGGGTTATGAATTTTGAACAGTATATGTATTTTTTTAGGAACTTTTAAATCAGAAAACGAGGAGAAAACATGGAAAAAAACCACCAAACGAGGAAATTGTATATAAATAAAAAAAATCTAATTATATTTTCGCTTGTACTGTTTTTAACATCAGGAGAACAATTGAATTTCTTGGAAGGGGTTCATACTCCATCGACCATGTGGGGAGGAGGGGAGAAAGAGACACCTTTGAGTTCTGCGTTTACTGGTGTGATGCAGTGGTTATGCATGCGCATACTAGAAAGCTAGTACTCACTCACTCAAGAAAGAGAATCAATCACTTTATTTTCATAAAAGGGTGCTGTCCAATTATATTGGGTTGCTGCATACACAGCATACTTATCATTGTTTGGCAATTAATATAATATACAAAAATAGAATAATAAAAAAATAATATACAAATATACAGTATAATAAACATTTCTGAGCATAGTGAACAATATTTTTTATACGTATTATTATTATTCTTTTTTTCACTATTTCTTACATTAACACTATATTTCCCTTTCGCTATCTTCTCTCCAATTATACATTTATCTTATAACTGCGCATATTTGCTCCTCTCTCTTTCTAACCTAATTTATAAAAATAGATAAAATACAGTGGACGTGTTCAATAAATAGTATAAAAGTGTTGTAATATATTCATGCCTCCTCCCATCAACAAACTCTCTCCCTATCCATTCCCATGCACATGGTGGTGGATGACTCCCAGAGAGTTGAGGATTATATTTCCTGCCAATCTTGTCACGTCGTTAATGTCGACACTAAGGCCCTCCATAAAGCCCCTTGTTGAGTTTGGTATCGTTCCGCGAGCTCATAACCAAAGTCCTCTCTCGTGGAACTCTCTCGGCCCGAAACTCTCGCGAAACTTTTCATTAAGGAAAGAGATGTATTTATCATATGTTTTTGTTTTTTTTTCTTTTTCATTTTTCCTGCCTAATCGAGATCATTGGTTTCATATCTTACGGTAGAATCCAAACTGATTGCCAACTTTCCCGTCTTATGGAAGGCTACGGATGTCGGCATATCGGGTGAATTCATCCATATCAATGCAGTATACTTCCTCGAAACAGGCGTATTCCCCCTGTCTAAGTAGCTTCATCAATTCATGTTTTGCTCTTTGGTGACGGCATGTTGTAAGGATGGAGTTGTTGGGGCATTTTCCAAGCGCATGTGCAAGTGTTTCATACTCTCTGTTGCATTTGGAACAGAGGGAACCAACTTCTCTGACCTGGCCGCTGACACTTGGGACTCCACGCAGGAGTGCATAATTAATATTACGTTTCAGGACATCTTATTTAATATTTCGCTTTCGGGCTCTCTTTAAAATATCGAACTCCAATGCCCTGTCACCTGCAACTGGCCCATTCCTCAAACGAATTTTTTCGTAGCGACAGCCGTAGAGCTCTCTTATTCCGATTACTCTGATCAACCCCCAATCTCTCGGAACATTTAGCAACCTCAGCCGAATAATAAATAATCGATTGGAAATGGCATGGGGCACATTGGACAGTCGCTGAGCAATACTCCAATGTTGTAGAGGAGCCTCACATTGGCAGCGGATTAATCCTAATTCTCGGTACCTGCTGGGAGCGTACAACATCGCCGTGGAGGTGTACGTAGGGAGTCCAATAATAGCCTTTACACTCCTGCGAATCATGTTGTCGATGCCGTCAAGTATGGCAGGAGGGGCATTTTTTTGAGGGGCGCAGTTTGGAAAGGGTAAATAAGATCTGGGAGCAGATACTGATTGACAATGTTTTGCTTCTGCTTCGGTTTAAGCAAGCAAGAGGTTACCAGTTAATTAAGGTTTTCGTTCAATTTGGTTTCCGAATCTTTGTTGAACTGTAGCTCTACCAAGAATGTACATCCTAAAAACTTGATCATATATCCATTTTTCAATGTTTGGATGTACTCTCCAATCTCAAGGGAGAACACCACTGTTTCCTGCTCTCATTTATTTAGAACGATGCCTTTTTTGAGGATTTAGAGCTAAACCAATTTCCTCAAACGTCTTAAGTAAGCTGCCGATTACTCTTTCTGCAGCCTCCTTGTTACGCGCCGACACGGCCTCATCATCCGCGAATCCTGTGAGGACCACGCAACCTTGGTCACTTTTTAGCTTATATCCAAATTTTTTGGAAAATTCTTTGTCGCACAGGCCACGCAAAGAGCGAAGACGACAAGGGACTGCCTCGGGGCACTCCGCTCAGCACTTTGATTTGGCTAGTAGCGTGAACACCGTTACTAATCTTGATAGTGTTCGAGCAGAGGAGAGCTGATGTAACATTTTTAAGGTCCGACGGCACACCTATTGCTTCTAAGGAGCTCACGATATAATTGTGGCCAAAACTGTCAAAAGCACCGACAACGTCAAAGAAGACTACCGCACAATCATTTTTCATCATGTTTGCATCTTTTAATATAGCGTCCATAATCCTTGCGTTGACGTGCGTTCCGAGGAGACCTTTTATAAAGCCTCTTTGATTCCTGTGGATACCTGCTTTCTTAATTCATGGTCCAGAACCTTCTTTATGATTTCGAGCACAATAGAATATATGGTGATAAGTTACCAGATAGATAAATTGCTGATATCACATTTACCCTCATATATTAATATTGTGTGCCCCTGTCGAATTGGTTCTGGAACATAAACCATCTTTGCAATCGTTTTTATTATGTTTGAAACATCAAAATATTTTATTGTGCGGATCAGAACTCAACCTGGTCTCGGAAATGTTTCCATTGATGTTGATTTAATAACTTTCTTGACAGCTTCTGAGGAGAGGGGAGTGGTAGGTTCTTGTGCCATCGACCATAGGCGGGATGGGCACCCCTGCTAGCGAGGTCCTCGACAGTCAGTCTGCAAACAATATCCCATTAGAAGAAGAGCAGATAGAAAATAATCAAACAATCAATAACCAGCAACTTTTAGAAAACGCAGACGGGATTTGTTAGCCTCCTGATTTCCTAAGAAGAAGTTGTAGAAGTAGGAAAGTTCCTCCGTGCTCGAGGAGCTATTATACTGAAGATTGTTCATTGCTTTATTTTTGTAAGAGGGGGAGGGTGAATGATATATTGTGTGGGCGTGGTGGCCGAACGGGCTAACGTGTGTGCACAGCACCGCCGTTGGCCAGCAACCTGATATATGAGACAATGGATTTAAAATAATCACGAGTTAGCGTCCCGCGCCGGAGGAGTCTTTTAAATACTCGCCCATACCCCTTGGCTCTGGAAAACCCCGTATAGCCTTAAAGGCGAGGAAGGGGAGAACCCTCCCAAAAAATGATATATTGTGATCTAGTTATCAACTGTTTCTAAAAACAGATGTTAGTTGCTTAATCTTATTAATTTAGTTAATCGCAGTATTGTGTGTTGAATTAAGTTTAATAAAGCTTTTTTGTTTCACGGTATTCCTTATTTATCTCTTTTACTTTATAATACTATAGCACTGCACTTTGTTTAAAGTACTCCCTTAGGTTCTTTTCTAGACTTCTACACGACTCTTCAATATTTCTGAGACCTCTCACACGTTCCATTCTTAGTAGGTAAGATCTTGCCATAGATGCAGTCGGGTGATGCATTCTGGAACCTGTCATACTTATTCTTATTAACCTTTTCAATGCCTGGAGTGACGTTGTGGACCATTTTAGAGCTCCAAAGCTGTAAGATAAGGCAGGAATAACCCACGTATTTATAGATTTTATCGTTAATCCTGAAGAAAGATATGTTCTAAAGATGATCTTTAGTCTTTTCCATATAAAAGCTATGGCTGATCGTTGCACTTGATTCATTAAATGTTACTTTGTATCCATTTTCTTCACGATTTAATAAAATTGACAACGGAGCCATCGCAAGACAAAACCAAAGGGGGCTGAGGCAGTCTCCCTGGTATATACCTCTTAAAATGGTAATGTATTCAGGTGATTGTTTATCTCCCATTCTTTCTTATTTTCCAGTTTTTCATCAATTTCGATTTTTTTTTTCTTAATTTTTCAATCAATTTCAAGTTCTTTAATATATGGATGAATTTTATATAAATTCAGAACTTTTAAAAGCCAACTATGAGGAACTGATTCATAAATGCTTTTTTATAATTAACCTAGGCTATTGACAAATTTATTTTATTCATATATAATGTCCAGTATATTTTTCTCAGAATAGAGTTGTAGATTAGTTGCTTGTTTTATAATTCAAGTGACGAAGAGCTATCCAGAAGATGTGAGAGTCATTGTCTCATCAGTTCTGTTCTTTTTAATTTTATATGTACGTTCCAAGTAAATCTTTTGTCTAAGTAGATCCCGATGTAACCTAAATATTTTTTATATATCTATTTTAAAAATTAATTAATCACCCAAATCCATTTTTCAAATTTTTCCTCGAATACCATGAAAAAGAATTTCACCCAAAAGCATTTATATCACATCTGAAATCCTTACACCTCATGATTATCTAATTCGAAAATTGTTAATAAAAATAAAATTGAATAATCTAATTGGTTGGTTTTGGTGTTCTATACTCTAAATCATCATATAAGATGCGATTTCAGATATTTTTTCGAGTTCACAATAATAAATGAATCAAAATAATGGTTGGTTATCTGTGGATTTTATTATTTAGAATGACCATATGTAGATATCTAAATTAACCTAAATTTTATTTTTAATCAAGTTATTAAGCTTAAGTGAATGATCCTGGATATCTTTTCAGCATTCTGCCAAGAATTAAGTGAATATATGATAATTCGGGAAGATTGAAAAGGATGGCGTTGTTTCAGACGGACCGAAGAGAAATAATGCCACATGGAAGGTGAAAAGGGTGAGTACACGATTTGCCAATGTCTACATTTTATTAACACTTGAAAAATATAATGAAATTTATTTTTCTTACCAACTTCAGTTAGTTGGTTGAGCTAGAGACGAACTCTTTCACACAATTCCACAGCTCGGCGTTCGTTAATTGATCAACTTATTCATCGCATTTTTAACGATCAGGGACTGACATTTTATTATGAGATGTATGATTAATTTTTAATAAACAGGCTGAGATGTCATTTGTGTGATCTGCCAATCGATGTCGGAAATCTGTCTCCAAACTGAAATAAAATTTAATTCTTGGAGATCCGAACCCTCTCGTTTCAAACCTTGCTTCCTCCTCGATCCCTGATAACCCTCCGAGGTGTCTGAAAAGAAGATGGCCTCGGGACCTTCTAGAACTTTAATTTGAGTTCTAAGAATGGGTAGTTTCTCTTCATGTTGTACATGTCATGTTACCAATGTCACATTTACTTGTTGTATTTTTCATGTAATACAGTTGTAAGTTTCATTAAAATAAATTTAAAAAAATAAAATAAAATAAAAAATTCTTGGAGTAGTAGCCTTATGAATTACGTATACGAAAAAAATTAATCATCCGAATCTATTTTAGCAAAGAAGCAGCCAATTGTGTTTTATACACTTTTCGGTTTATTGTTTAAAAGGAACCGTTATAATAAAACAATAATAGAAAAAATCATTCTTCTTTCTTATGATGGACCTATTATCATATATTATATTTCCATCTGTTCACTGATAGATGTACTACGCGAATTATTCCTAGTGGCCTACTAGAACTTTTGAATTATTGAACTTTAAACATTTTGTATGTTATTTTAAGTAAATGTCTGCAAAATATTGGAGGGGCTGGTACCCCTTCATAAAATATTGAATTTGTTTTTTAATCAATCAGCCTGCACACTGCGCCAACACCGGCCTTCAAATTTTGGATAGTTGAAATACTCTGTACGCTTTGCGTAGCTGCTTGTTAGTGATTTTGGAGAGTTTGTTCCACATTGGCTTCAGCGCTATCTGTAATTTTCTGGTCGGCCTGAACCTGCCCTCGTTTACTGTACTAAAGCAGCGATAAAGCATAGAATTTCCTAGAACAGTAAAAGACAATGCTAACATTGCAAAAATGATCTTCCTGAAAGTAAAATGCCCTCACGAAAAAGCGGAGATAAACTGATAAAATAATCATTATTGTACTTGGGACAACGATATCTAACTCTTTGTGAAAGCTACTGTTGAAATGAAAGACTTTACAAACCAATATCTAACTATGTCAAATAAACAAAACACTCAAATCAAACTTTAATTACTTGTTTATAGCTTTATATGGTTTATATTTATTTTAAAGGATTGTCGTATGTTACAGATCCTTGGAACAAGCCTTCAACATCAAAAGCCGGTCTGTCCAAACAAAGTGAAGATGAAGAGCAACAAAGTGATGATGAAATACCATCAACAAATATCATATTGGTCGACAAACGAATTATACAAAATGATCAGTCCGTCCCGCAACCCAATCGAGATGAAAAGCGTGTTTGGACACAAAAACGAAAAAATCCAGCACCAACATATTTCTCCAAGTCAGATAAACAACTTACATTATCAGATCCTGAGGATAATACAAAAAAACAAAAAGACCAAACGCCGCCGCCATCAATATCTCAAGATGAAAAGAAATCAGGAGGACCTGGTAAATCTGAAAAAGGCAGAATTAATAAAACCAAGGATTATCATCAGGATTCCAAGGATCATCAGAAGCAGAATACACCATCCCATTCAAATGCTCTGGAACAGCGGATAGATTTAAAAAAAGGTAAATAATACTATAATACGACCGTTGGACTACACTATACTAGGACTATATCTGTACTCCGGAGGTAATCAACACCATGTCCATTTTTTGTGAGTTGAGGGGAGTCGATGTTCTGTAACATTGAGCTATTAAAATTTGTTTCTTTGTTAATGAATCTGTACTCCGGAGACAAAGGACGCCATGTCACATTTTTCTATTTGTTCAGAGAGCCAATTTTCTATGAATTTGAGCAATTATAATTTTTTTTAATAATTAGGCAGCGATAGAATACCAAAAATAATTATGGAATGGGAGACAGAGGGTAGAAAGAGACGAGGAAAGCCCTCAGGTAGATGGAAGGATAGAGTGGTGGAGATTATGGCTGGAAGGAGACTGTCGGACGCAATGGACAGGCAGAGATGGAGGTACTTGCTGAAGCAGAAAATCGGTTGAGAAAAACTTCAAATTGGAGAAATTCCTTAGGGGAAAAAAAGATTTAATGAAAAATGGACATGACATGATATTCTTTACCTCAGGGGCACAGATATATAGTATATATTATAATAATGGCACAGGACTGAAATAACCCACAGCTAATAGAGCAAGTAATCGTGATGATAGAGATATATTGTATAGTCTCATATAACATGTTGGGCCTGATATGCTACTTTTTGAGGGATTCAAAATTTATTCGCGATGCCACTGGATAATTATTTATATTATCCATAATATAAATAATTATTTATAATTATATCCATTATATATTATATCCACAATTATTAATTATGGATAATTATTACTGATAATTATCTAGAGTTATTTAATAATAAAAAAATTAGTAAAATAAATTTGGTCCATTATTAATTAATTGGATTTCTTTTCTCAAAGGCTGGTTTGTGTTTATCATGCTTTCTAATTACAGGGTGGGCCAAGGGTGGTTTTCATTGGTTGAATTTTCGTAGCATAAGTGACCACGCCTTAAGGCCGTACGGCTGTTTCCTCTTTCTCGTGGAGTGTGGATCTTTGTAGGTGTTTTTGCCGACCTCTGTCCTTAAGTGTTTTATTGCTCTTCACGAAAGTTTACGTTCCCTAGGGGGCCTTTAATCTCCTTCAGGTAACCGGACATGTGTTTGCAATTATTGTTTAGACCATACTTATTCATTTGAAATAATTAAATATATTCCAAACGTGGTCCTTACAATACATAGCAGGTCGCTGATCAGTATCAGCAGTAGAGAGTAAACAACTGTTTACGAAAATAATACCCAAACTAATTTTATTTAGCTAATCTTGTTTCCCACACCTCACAAAACCTATTGTTTTTATGACAGAAGTGAAATCAGAAGCTTATACAAAATGGTTTATGTTTTTTCTTACAGATGAATTATTTAGTTACCGCAGTTCGATTATTATTATTATTTTTTAAAAATGTTATTCAAATATTCAAACATAGAACAACGATAAAAAATAATCTCGTGTATCCACTCACACGACTTTCCTACCTATTTCAGAAAAGTTTTTATATCTTTACATATGATCATGAAGAAACAAAAAAAATTGATTAAAGAAAAGATCTTAGTACGATTTATTTGATAAACTAAAGCAATGTAAAACGGCTTAAGGTAGATCATTGTAAAAATTTCAAGACTCCCTAATATATGATCAAAAACTTGTCGCCATAGCTTAGTATTGTCAAACAATAATTTCTGTTAGAAGTAGGGGACATAGTGAAGCTTGTGTGATGCGGGCAACAGATTTTCTTACTTTCACTTAGCCATCTTTTTTCTCTCATTTACCCCTTTCTGACACCAGGGTATGATCCCCTTAAACATACATTGGAAACTGAATAGCTGTAACTCCGTTAATAGTTATCCAAAATGATATATTTTTATATAGTTTTGTATAAAATTTCATTAACTTTCAAAAAAAAAAATAAATAAATAAATAAATAAAAATAAGGCTAAACGGCGTTTTCACAGACATACAGACTCAGGGGGGTCTGAAACGTATAGATCCATCGAAAACTGCATACCTAGTATAGGTAGGAAAGTATTAAGTTAAAACATGTGTAAAAAATAGAATAAACTGTATCATCTCTAATACTGGTTCGATTTGATTCGATGATTTTTTTTTGTTTTGTTGGTAATTCAATTACCTTTCAAAAGTTTTATTATAAATTTTACCGTATAATATATACTTAGGGAGTTAGGCTCCATAATATTTTTCTTTTCTTTATAATTTTTTTTCCTGAATTTTCTCGTGAATTTAGTCCATATAAGAAAATTGCAAGGATAATTGTTAGAGCATTATAGGACAGTTTCGTCAAAATCGTTAGAGCCGTTTTTGCGCTATAGTCTAGAAAAACTTGTTTTTCATTTATTGCGCGCAAGATATTACGTATAGAGCACCGAATTTCTATCACAGGCATCAGTAGTCAAAACCTACAAAATAAAAAAAGAAGCAATAAAATCGGTTCAGTAGTTCCCGAGAAAATCCTGTCACAGACAGACAGACAGACCAACGGCTAAAAATGTGTTTTTTTTTTCGGACTCAGGGTGCTCTGAAACGTATAGATCTGTCGAAAACCGCATATCGGAAATCTGACCCGATTGCAATACTTTCCTTACCTAGTATAGGTAGGAAAGTAATAAATAAGTTGGTTAATCTAAATCCTTGAAGATTGTCGTTTATAAATAGAATGAGTTTTCAGTAGGAAGCGCGCTTATAGACTTTGAAGCGGTAAGAACAGTCGACGCTGTAGAAACATCCATTGCAGACATTTTTAGCGAAATGACAGGAGCAGTTTGTGACAGCCATGATAATCATGCACATAGCTGCGATGGTATGATTTTTTTCAATAGTCATTAAAAATGATTTTTTGACCATCAGTTAATACCTTGTGTGACTGTGTGCTTAGAAATGACAACAAGCTGTCAACGAGAGAATTATTTTAGTTGCATACCATTCTTCAGTGGTTTCATAGACCTGTTTGAAATTGAACTGGAATCAGAGGTTACCACAGGGGATGCTGTGGAAGGTATGGATACATCTAATTTTTAATGGTACCGATTAACTATCCAATTGAAGGTATTGAGCCTTACTGAAACCGTTTTCCCAACTTTTGGAGTGACTTTGGAAAATTAATCCTTCATTAACAAACTATGCATTTTGGTTAAATTCTCTATCTTGATGCAAACCATTTTTTCTGTTTTTTTTTTCTTCCCTCCTTCATCCCCTGGCTATTTACGACATGCGCTCAGGAGCAGAGAAGGAGGCAATTATAGTTAACGTACCTATTCTAACTAGCCTCGCGCGGTTTCATTACCGCGTATGGGGAGCGTCACACGGGTGGCGGATGTGGGGATGGTCGGTGGAAATACCTTGGAAGTTCCTCCCGGCTAAGTCCGATGGACTCGCTGACCAACAATGAGAGGGGCCCTCCAGACTTGCTGGATGCAGAGGCCCATCAGACTTGGGCCCCCTACTCACATATCTTCAGTTCACCACACACCACAAATATTCATGGATCTTAATAAGGTAAAATGATCATTATCCGGAAGTAAAATAGTCCCCCGATCGGGGCTCCGGTTGCTTTAGGGGATTCATGGGGCAAGTTGAAACATAGGGATTTAAATATTGGTACGTGGAACGTAAGGAGTTTAAACACAGTAGGAGGATTAAAATCAGTCGCGAATAAAGTTAATGGGTTCAATTTGGATGTCGTGGCACTGCAAGAGGTTCGCTGGCCAGGGGAGGGCTCGATGAGGGAAGGAAAGTACACTATTTGGTACGGAGGAAGCGAGAATCATTGTTTAGGTATCGGGTTTCTAATTAGGAATAGATTGCTATCCGCTTTGAGGGACATACAATTCTTTAGTGATAGAATTTCGGTAGCTATATTTCAGAGACGTTGGTTTAAAATCACATTAATAAACATGCATTATTCGACCGAAGACAGTGACGATGAAGTCAAATGTGAATTTTACGATAAACTCGAATGGGTTTATAATAAAATACCGCAAAATTCCATGAAAATAATGCCAGGTGACGCGAACGCAAAGGTGAGAAGAAAAAAAGTTTTATGTTCCGACGATTGGTAAAGTAAATTTGCACGATTTGATAAACCTTGCCATCTCGAAAAACCTGATAATTAAAAGTACTACGTTTAAACATAAGGATATTCATAAATATACTTTCACGATAAATAAATATACTTTCAATATCAAATCGATCATGTCTTGATACAACATAGCTGAAAAAGCAGTATAATTAATGGACGATCTTATCGCGGAGCAGGATGTGGGTCAGATCATGAATTAGTAATCGCGAAACTTCGACAAAAACTTAATATAAAAAAGAGAAACGAAAACCGTTTCTATTTTGAGAATTTTAATTTGGAAAAATTAAAAAATCCATCAATTAGAACCCAATTCGAGCTAGATATTAAGAATAAGTTCGAAGCTTTAGAGCTTCCTGATGAGGACCACGAGGATATTGACAAGTTATGGGTAGAGATCAGGGATAATATTAATTAAATTATATATAATAATTATTAATTATTTTATCACAATATCGGGAACTCGTGTCTAGGAAAACAGGATAATAAGAATAACAACCGTAAATAGAAGGACCAAGTAAAGAGGAAGTTGAAGTAGCTTTTGGAAAATTAAAGTCTTATAAAGCAACGGAAACCGATAATATTCCTACTGAGCTAATTAAGGCATGCGGAAAAGCTGGAGTTTCTCAAATGCATCGGTTGGTCAAAAAGATCTGAGCGAATGAGAAATAACCTGAGGAATGGAAAGAATCTATTCTTATTCCGATTCACAAAAAATGCCCGAGGACGGATTGTAATAACTACCGAGGAATTTCGCTTCTTCCGGTATTTTATAAAATATTCACTTAAATCTTAACCAGTCGAATCGTGGAATACGCCGAGGAAATTATCGGAGACTACCAATGCGGATTTAGACGGAATCGTTCGACTATTGATCAAATATTTTCTTTACGGCAAATATTAG